ACTCCTCAGTTCCACTCTTGGAAAAATGTTTCGCCTTCGCTAGTACTCCCAGAAAACTCGAGTGGGATGCGCAGTCTCCTTCTTGACACCATCAACCTATCATTCAAGTTTTTCCTAGCACATTTCATTCCCGACCAATGCAACACAGTTTGAGAAAGCTTTCATATTAATCACATCAGACATGGCGCGCGAGTTTCACCGGTGAAAATCACCGCCACCAATGTTGATGTCGCAATGTTGAGCAGTGGGTTATGAGCAGTGCAAATCTGAAGGCAATTACCTAAAACCATCTACAATAATAAACATCTATATCCAAATTCATAGCAAAATGGCTCCAATAGCATTCTCTTTGGCGCTACGTCCTGTGATTAGATAACAAGTGATTTCCCGCGTGCGGAAAATTTCAAAACGCAACTGCACACCTGAAGTCACATGCACGAGTAGCGCACTCGCCCAGTCGGATAAAATGACACGTGAGTTCTCGCGTGCGGCAATTTTCAAGTGCACATGTGGCGAATGCGGACTGCACACCTGAAGTCATCTGTGCGACTAGCACGCTCGTCCTGTTGTATAAAATAATAACACGTTAGTCATGTGAGTCTACAAAACGCAAGAAGTGGCGGGTCAGCTACATGGCATTCTTGGGATAGGGATTTTCAGTTCTGATTAAGCGAGTCGAAAAATAACCGAATCTTAGAGGTTAACTTCTTATTCACCCCTCCAATTTCTATCATTCCAGTCTATCCCTCCTATCATCCTAATTCTTTGAGAACACGAAGACCAAGAAAAGCCTCAAGAAAAGCAAAAGTGGGTGTGTTATGTAACTATATTCTGAGAAGATGACAAACAAAGAAAAAGTGCCTGAACGCTTTTATGCGGCGTGCAAACACTAAACTACGCTTCCGTGACACATGGACCTGCGAGTTATGCGTTGCGTGGCCGGCAACTAAGTTTAATGGCTTGTACAGCACGTAATTTTATTCCTAGCAAAAGACTAGTGTGTTAATTAGCACATGTTGTTTAATTTAAAATCACGCACGTGAGTTTCAACTATACGGAGTACTTCACGTGTTTTCGTTTCAAGGGTATTAGTTATTTCCGTCCAGTCTCAGAAAAGTCTGGACAATTACTTGTTTATCGCTAAAGCAAGTGAAAGCGGGCAAGTCTCAGAAGTAGCCTCATCCGCATTACGACTCTTTGTGTTTCACGAAACCCCGCCCCTAATCGTGATCTCATTACTGAACGTCAACGTGCTTGATTTCGGCGGAGTTGCGTGGCCATTCAAAGAGTTTTAGAAGAGACAGTCAGGGAATAAACCCTAGCAGAACAGCTAACATCATCATTATTTAGTGTGCATAATCAAGGTTCTCATGGTTAAAGTGCTTTCACGGACGAAAAATCAAACCTTAAGGGCTTGCCTTTTGTACAATTTTGTCAAGTTAGTGCTGTGCATGTGCACGTGAAGCAAATCCTGTTTTGCAAAGTATTCTTTAGGTACTACAGTACTTAGCATGTACCCTTGAGAAGCCAATTAATATAAAGGAAAACATGTCAAACATGCTTACAAAAAAGTTGTAAATACTTCTTGTTTTCTTCTACATGCTAGTGAACTTCGAACCAGCGCATAATAAAGAAAAAAGGTACTGTACAAACAAGAATTAAGTTAAGCCTTGCAAAGTAAATAAACAAACTTGCGTAGATTGAGAAACCACGGTGCTCAAACAACCAAATGGTACTTAATTAACTGGCGAGGTTAAATCTGGTCCGTCTTGATGTATCAGTCACGGCCGACAAAATCTCAGTCAGAACACTGAAGGAAGGTAATCATGAAAAAGACGCAAAGTTATTTGTCGCTTGCCCTGCTCAGCAAAAACCCGTGCGAAGAAAAATCGCTATACAAAAAGCTGGAGGATATCGATAGAATGAAAAACAAGATCCTACGACAATCAGCCGCCAAAATGACCAACTTTGCTATCCAGCACTTGTACATCGCAAAATATTACGATGCCAAAAATGGGGAACAGTGTCGCCCGCCACTAAAAGTCGCCCAGGAAAGTGTTGGCACCTTACCACGCTTGACACCGCTGAGGAAACAATCCGAACAATCACTGCGTCAAGTGGTTAGAAAAAGTACTTCCTTGCCGGAGACTTTTGATTGCAAAGATTGCGCAACTTCGAATTCAAGGCCGACATTTCGGAGGAGCTTGTCGGACAAGTCGCTATCTCTGTCCGAATTGAATTCAGTTGGTGAAAAGGTGAAGTCGTCGATTACGACTCAAGATGGCGAAATTACTGAAGAGAAGCCTAAAAGTGCTACTGCAGATGAAACAGCAGCCAGGTGGGCAGGCCGCATGTTTTCTGAAGCTTCTTCTCCGAAGAGTAGCATTTTGGATAATGGCGCGCAACCTGCAGAGAACATTCCAGGAAAATTTCATGCTTGGACCGAGAAAGAGAATGAAGAGAAGACATTACCCACTACAGTCGTCAATGGCGACTCTGGGCTCAAGCCAAAGTATCGTAGAAGCCTTTCGCAGTCCTCAGTTGCTCCCCCAAAACCACTCCGCCGGCAGTCGCAACAGGGAGATTTAGCAGTAGGAAAAGGATTTGGAAAGGAAATCGAAAAAGGAAATGAGCCAAAAGATGAAAGAAAATTGAGCGGAATCTGTCAGAGAGAGGCAGTTCAGGACAGAAGACGATTGCAGAGACGAGTCACTGTGGCGAGCGGAGCACCCTCCATAACTAGGGAAGTATGTCGCTGGCAGCAAACGGTAAAACTCGTCAAAGATTTGCCCAAGAACGAACAGGCAGAAATCTTCAGGGGTGCTTGTTTCTTAAGAATGGCCCTACCCTCTTCCACTATACCAAAACCCGATAAGCCTTATCACGAATCCTCTGTCTTAGGACGCCAAAGAAAGATAAGCACCATAACAGCACCTTGCAGACGAGAGCTTTCTTCGTACAACTGGACAACAGCGAAATATGACCCACGTTTTTAAGAGGGTTTACAGACCGTCGACCGGCAGTCACTCATAAGTGATCGGTGAACAGTAATATCAATGCTACCTAAAAAACAGTTGCTTTAAAAAAAGGAGTTGAGGATGACTCGTAATTAACGGTGAACATAATCGAACATTTTAGTTAGGTACGAAAGAGTACCCACAGTGACTCTGGACACTTTTCTGTTGCTTAGAAACAGATTTGGGGTATTTGTGTCTCTATCTAAATCAAAATTTGATTTTCCTGATTATATGTTTTGTATATTTGTATAGTTTAGGTTACAAAGGTGTACAACGGTGTCGTCTTTTGCTTAGCTATTTGACGTTTGTTATTAAATGCCCTTTTGAAGAAACAAGGAGAACAAAAAAGAGAAGAATGTTTTACTACGAGGAACATGAAGCAAGAATTTAAAGAAGGCGGTAAAAAAGTTATGTTCCTTCGCTGTATATATGGGCAACTTGCTTTGTAAAAAATTAAAGAGTCGATCGTAAACTTGGTCTTTTCTTCAAAGAATGTGGATACCTAAGTTACGTAACTCATAGAAAAACTCATTTCATATTGAAAACTCCAGTGTAGATTTTTCCAGTCCATTTTTACTTTAAGTAAACAGAATACTGAGTACATGTAACTAAAGGAAAGCATAGGAAAAAAGTTTAATTTTTTATGCAAAGTAATGAAACGACCAGAGAGAGATAATTTCAATTTCTGGTACTTTCTAAAGTTCATTTTGAGTAGCTTGATGGAATCCTGCTGTTGACAATACTTGTACATTTTAATTTCAAAATAACTTGTTGATTTATGTAAATAAACCTTGACAAAGTTCAAGTTCAAGTTGAAATAGTTGCACGCGCATGTCACGCCGGAATTAGTCTTCACAAACTGGAAATGTTCCAAGAAGAAGGAAAATTGTCGAGAGAGTGGAGTGGGTCTTTTCAGCCCTGACGGTGAAGAGACTGCATGGGACATCGACTCCGGACGCCCCTTACCCTCCCCTCCCCCTTTTCTACTCGAAGGGTTTCGTAATAGACTAAGAAAGATAAATAGACGAAATAGATAAAATAGACGAAACTTTCCAAAAGTTGAACCAAGTAGTTCCTCGTACCCCACAGCATGGAGCTTCCAACGGCTTGGGTTTATCTAAAAGGAACTCGACTATTTAAATTCTTTCCTCTTTTGACAAACTGAGTTATCCAAACCTTTTTAGACACCAGCTTATAAGTCCAGGGGTGTGGACTGTATGCCACTGTTCGCACGTGCTTATCTAGATTGGAACAATCAAATGTCGAAGATATTATATGATAATAAAAACATAGAGGTTTCCTATCTTGGCGTAATCTTTCGTTTTCACGAAGGATCAGTTGAGATCAATAGTTTTGCCACCGTTTGGGAAATTTCTGGTGGCTAGACTGCGAGCAGTCTTTTATTTTTCTTTGCAAAGTACTCTACGCGTAACCTATTTACGCGAGCCGCGGACGAGGGCACAAATACCTTATTGTGACGTCGTTGTTTGCTATCGCGCACAGTGGGATAAGAAGTGGACCTATGGATTTTAAGAGAAATGGCGGACTACAAGAGTCTACTAGCGTCTTTTGTGGGTTTTTTGGAGCCAAATTTGTACTGCCATTAATAGCTGATGGTCGACCACCGTCGAAAAAAAAATAATGTTCTCTGTATACCTTACAAAAATCTTGCCACTTCCCTGACAGCTAGAAAGGCGATATGATGTTCGTGATAACATTTCAACGAGTTCAGTGACTCATTTACCGAGTTTTCCCCGTATAGGTACTGTGTTCTGTGTAAATGGGTTGAGGGCTGGGAGGGGAGATCAAATAAAACTGAAAGAAAATTAATCTGCAAATGACATTTTATTCTATTGATCATTCATTTTTGAAAACCACATAATGTATAAACAAAAAGAAAATTTGGAAATGGGAAAGCCTTTATGCCCTGCCCCTCATATTGACAAATTTTAGAACGTTTTCTTTGTATCCCCTAGGAATTAAGTAACAGTTGACTGTTTTTTGGGTAAATTTTGGCCAACACGTTATCTGCAGGTAATATTTTGATAGGCCATTGGCGAGTTCCAAAAAAATGTCACTTTCAAAACGAGGCTAAGTGCAAAACCTTTCTTGACTGAATATAAGTTCAATTTGCATGAGAATAAAAATGATTTTCATATCAGTAGCTTCGCCCTTAGCCTTGCTTTGAAACAGAGGCTTGGGCAAACTCAAACTTGTGCTTTAATAAATTTTCTCATTATTTGTGAATGACAAAGTACTATACATTTTCCCCCTTCTTCTCCTTTATTTTTGTTCAAAAATGACAAGATCAAAGAGAGAAGCGTAAAAACTAGAAATGATAGTTTTTAAGTCTATTCCCCTTCCAGTCATGTCAGCATAAGCAAAATTTAGTTCTCAGTTGTAACCGCTGTCAATATATTATCTTTGAATTATATCACATTAGTCTGATAAACCTAACAATATTCAACTTAATTCTAGGTAATTTATTACAAATAAATTATATTATACAACCTAAATAATTTGATATGGTAATACTGATGTGATATTAATAACTTATAAGTTTTAAAATAAAGTTCTTTACCATAAATAATAACTTTACACAGCTGACAATAATTCACTGGCAGGTAAATTATTTATCTATTGAGCAGCGGAATTCTGTCATAGGTAAGTTTAACATGGTCATCTTAGTGAGTGTAGAAGTTCCGAATAGGACTGTTGATGACAATGACATTTAAAATTGAAGAGCTGTTGGAAGTAGCCTAAGTGAAGCCATACCTTCTCCTCGCCGGGAGGGCACTACTACATGTAGGCAAATTGGAAGTCCTTCAGCGTGACTGATGACTGATAAAATTGAGATTCAACTGATCAGTCAAGTTTATAACTAGAGTTAAAACCCTAACTGATCATTCACCGTTGTCAGCTTATTTTGACTTTGATGAGTTGTCACCATTGATCCCATTCAAGTCTGTACCCACCTGGGTGTTCATGCACTACTTGCCACTTCATCTTATGATATAAAGTTAAGTGACTGCAATTATATTAATTCATCACCAAGGCCATTAATTCAACTAATAAACCAAAAAGTCAATCAAATTTGGTGAGCACTTAATTTCTTATTACATGTTATTAACAGCACTTGCTTTTGTAGTATTATACAATATGTGGCATTTGTATGCATGATGTAGTAGTCCTATCTCCATTCCGTTCATCCTGATTTGTCCGCTGAGGAGCTAACTGGCCAGGACCAATCACAATTGACCAATCCTGGTTTAAGGCGCACCATTTCCTCCAAAAGAACAAACACTTTGTCCACCAGAAATAAAGAAAGGCAGTATCCAGAATCACTCCAAATCCGTTGACAACATAGAAAATCACACAGGGTGTGGTGTAACACAAAGCTGATGCATTGACAGCAATCGCAAAAACGTTGAGAAATAGTCCAACAAGAAAAACTGTAAACCATATTATTGGAATAGGCTTGTCTTCTGGCTTTCGCCACTGAAATTTAATAAAGGAAGTATCATAATTAGGTACTCAAGAGCAGCATGCAAAAAAAAACAGTGTCCAACAGCCTGGGGGTTAGTGGATTTGGGTATATGGCTAGTGAATTTTTGGGGCTAATGAAATACCATAAAATTCCGAAAATAAGCCCCTCCATGTATAAGCCCCTTCAAATATAAGCCCCCCAATCCGGTAACGCAAAAAACCCTCCTTTAAATCGCCCCTCCAAATATAAGCCCCCCGCGGGCTTGTACTTTGAAAATTGTGCTGAAATACAAAGTAAAACAAAGCAAAAACGGTTAATTTACTTCCAACTATACGGCTAGCTCAATCGATTTTGAAATGCACATTTCCCTCCGTAGATAGGCCCCTCCAAATATAAGTCCCTCCAAAAATAAGCCCCTTAAAAAGGGCCTTTGAAAAATATAAGCCCCGGGGCTTATTTTCAGAATTTTACGGTAACTTCTGGGCTAGTAAATACATCCTTATCCAAGACAATAATTTATAATAAAGCTGGCTGACCATTTGCAAATGTTGAGGGAAAAGGTAATTTTCTTAAGACCATGAATCTTTGCTATCTGTTGCAACAGATGAGAGAAAACAGTCTCAACACTTAAACATAGCCCTAAATAATTGAACTGGACTATGATTTATTATTTTTGGGATTAAATTGATGCAAAGATTTATAAAGAGATAGCAACAGCGTGACAATATAGCTGGTCCTAACTTTAAAGGCACACAATTCTATAGGATGGACACTAAATACACTAATGTTTATGCAGTTTTAAAACAAGCATTTACAGCATGACTGCCCGAATTGGGGCTCTTGGAAGATTATCCAATCACAACGTTTTTTGAAAACAAAAGATGCACAATTTTTTTTCTTTTGTGAATGGACTGATAACATTCATAGATTTGAGGGCTGTTTCCTGAGAGGTCAGGTTAGTTCAAATGGTTTTAACATTTTCAACCGTTGCATAGTTGAACCTTGAGTTTTATTTGCTTGCTTGCAAAAGAACTGAGAATTTTTTGCTTTCAAAAAACGTTGCGATTGGATAAATTTCTTCCAAGTGTGTCAATTTGAGTACTTGTTGCATTGTAATTATGTACTAGACATACATGTATTAAAGTAAAAAAAAATCATATCAACAACCTCTGAATATGGCCTTCCTTTCTTCTTGATAGCAACTTTATGTCGACAGAGTTCGCAGGTGTTTTTTACAGCTTTTTTAAACCAAGTTAACAGACATGTTGCATGTACATGCTTCGCTGATCCAGAACAGTGGCATGGTGTAATGAGTGGTTCATCGCCCAGTGAATGACATATACGACAAATGTTCTGAGACTCTTGCATATCATTATTTTCCCTCTCACTCATTTCTCCTTGCAAAAGTGTTGCTAAGTGCTTTTGCTGGAGATCTTTCATCATGTTGTATACTCGTTGCTGTCGTTGCTGGCGGTTAGCGAGAGAAGATGCTACTACCTGTAAACAAAGCAAACTGAATTCAGTCTTTGTTTTCTTTTTAAAAAGGCTGTGTCATGATGATATTATTGCAGTATTTGGTCAATTCTGTGCTAAAGTAGTTACTCAGTGCCTTTAACCATTCTTCCCGATGGGGTATAAAATCAATAATGGATGAGAAACATGCAAATCCCAAAAACCCTTTTTCTACATTTTTCCCAGACCTCCTCTGTATTCAAAATCAAAATGGTAGAAATAATAAGAAATCTTACAAAAGGAAAACCATTCACAAAATACACTGCACACTGTACATTAATACTGTACTGCATATACAGTTGAAGCTTTCATAAGCAACCACCTCGAGAATTCAAAAAAATGGTCGAAACTAGAGCTGGTTGCTTACGAGAATGAGCTCTCGCAAATGACTGCAAGGTAAAACAATAGAGGGTGGTTGCTTATGAGAGCTTCAGAAACTCATCATTGATTAATAATTCATTAAAGAAAGAACAAAATAAATTAATGTTTAATGAGTGTCTTTATATCTGATATAGACAAGGCTGAACTTTATGTCAATTTTTTAGACCAAAATAACCCAAATCTAAATATTAGAACCACTAGCGAGTGTGCAGTTTCATCTAAATGTTGATTTATATGAATAGGGCTCTGAGTGGTCGCCTACGAGGGCTAAAAAAACAAAGGAAAGTCCAGTTGGATAATCCCAAAAGTGGTCGCAGTCGCTTACAGGAGTGGTCGCTTACGAGAGCATTTCATTACAAAGTTTAAATCACAGTTCAAATGGGGTTTCACAAAGGTGGTCGTAACTAGAGCTGGTCGCTTATGAGAGTGGTCGCAAGGAGAGCTTCGACTGTATTATAAAATAGGTGCCTGCCTTTTGCCCTTGTGTTCAAGATTTTATTGAAGTCCTAACCTGTTGTTCTTCATTGTCTTGTGATGTTCCTGTACCAGTAGAATCAGAAAGGTAAGGTGAAACAACTTTTACTTTGTGAGGAGTTGAATTGGCACCACCTTCCTCTGTCGCAGCATTCATCTTTTAACACTGGCAAAGGCACCACAAAATTGCCTAATATGAGTAGGGTAAACAAACACAAGAACATTACAACTGACATGACTCTTGGCACCTGCAAGCCCTGCTGCACGTCAAATGTATTCGGAAAGAGGAGGTCCCAGTAGGTGCCTTTCAACCTTTTTAGGAACAAAATGGGTATAATCATGGAAGCCATTCCACTTTTTTGTGCTTGTGTAAATGAGCCCTCTATCACAGGAAAAAAATTAGCTTTCTTCATAAATGTATCAATAGAAATATGGTTCAATAACTTCAGAAATCATAATATTTATTACATTGTTTTGATAATTTATCGAGAAATAGAAACAATGCTAGTGCACAGAGTCTAATGCATTGTCTTTCCCAAACACAACAAGTTAATTGCCACACTGATTAATGCTCATCAACATCAATCAATGTAGATGATTAATATATTGATAAGAGTAATCAGTTATAGTGAATCGATGATGCATTTTCAGAGTTTATTGTTATTGATTATCACTTTAAGTCAGAAAATACAGGATGGTGAAATATGGAGGATGCTTCAAAAGTTAGCAACAAAATAAATTTAACTAAATGATAAACAGAACGATTGTTGCAAACATTTTTTTTTACCAGATCATAGCAAGAAAATCAACACTGGCATCCAAAAATGAGATTTAAAATAAATTAATATACTTTTTGCTAAATACAAATTCAAGGGAAATATAATAAGTGCAAGAAGAAAAGGCATGTTGCACTTGTATCGCAGCACACACACAAAAAACAAAGTAGAAATAGGAATCTACCACAAGTAACATTAAAAAATGAAAATCTAAAAAAGTTCCATACTTTTGTGCTTTAAATTTTTGAACATGCAGAAAAATGCACTGTTTCTTGTTTGGCAACAATCAATGTCACTTAAGTGGCACTATTTATTGACAGATGGCGTAGAGATTGGACATGCCGGGCACAGAAAAAAAGAATCACAAAAAAAAATGGTTCTTTTATATAACAAAAGTAACATTCTTTCTTATTGCTGCTGATTATCAGCATGGGTTTTTCATTGGGTAGTAAATTTACAACATATGCTTCGAACTGAAATTTGGTCCTCTGTAAATACATCATAAAAATAAACCAACGTTATCACAGTTGTTATTCTCTATCGTTATGTTGTTTCATGTTCAAGGGCACAACAACAAAAATCAAATATGGATTTGTCACTGGACAGTGGAATTTTTTAATACTGAGAGTTTATAAGTTCCAGAGAAACCAAAAGATAAAAAAAGGAAACACATTTAGGTTTCTTACTGTCCCATAGATTGTCCTCTTTTTGTGTCTCGTGAAAATTATCAAAATTGATAAAGCACCAACGTGGTCTAATTTAACACAACCTTCACACACAACTTTAAATTAGCTAAATTACAGCTGGTCCCCAATAGATGAAAGGAGGTATTGAGAAAACTATTTAGGCTTATATGCAGTTAGTGTAGTCTAAAATTGAAGCTGAAAAAGGTGAGAAAAACTATATCGAGTAGCTCGACGTTAAGAAAATAACTTGCTTGTACCGATTTCACGGAACAAAGGAACAAAGAAAACTGCCGATCGATCGAGTCTTCCATGAAAAGGATCATTCGTTCCAAAATAAATTCCTAAAACATACAATCTTTAGCAGAAAATTTAGTTGCTGTTTATAGTACAATCTTTCGCGTGTCGCTTAAGCTATGACGAAGTTGACGATGTATTAGCTGAAAAAAGGATGTGAGAAAAAAGTAAACATAAGGACTACAGCGCGCCCAGCATTTTATATTACGGCACATTGCATCGGACATATTGTTCGAGACAGCTGCCTTCGGAAAAAACGGGAGAAAATTAGCCATAGAATGAAACTGGAAGATGATTCTTACCTTTTAGGTTTTAGTGGCAATAATTACCACATTTTCTTAAGGGTAAGGAACGAAAATCCGTTCGTAACAGTATTTTCACAACGCCGGTCAGTGAGAATCAAATACGGGTAAGGCTGTTTGTGCCCAGGTTGAAACGGCCTGGTAAAAAACAAAGGCTTGAAAAGTTTGGGGACGAGTGGGTGGGGATTTCAACCAGCTGAGGGCTCTGACCGGCAGAGTGAGAGTGCCTTAATTTGGCCCGCAGAACTTCAGCTTTGGGTTTTGGCTCACGATAAGAAAACGTTGCTATTAGCAAAACCAAAGCTTTCATATTTTAAGGCTTTCGCAGACTAAAAAAACCTTAATGATGGCCAACTCATCCCAGGAATCCGAAAAATGTGTCGCCTTAAAACTTCCGCTCGTTCAGCTGGCTGTCACATGAAATTCTGAGCCCAGGCCAAAAGCTAACAGGTGGACTCAAACAAAAATATGCCTCAGCAGCAAGGTGGTTGATCTCAAAAGCCTTCATGGAGACATTGAATGAAGAATTTTTCCGATAAACTGTGTAGTCCGGACATACGAAACTATCGGGTTCCTTGTGAAGCAGGCGCTTAAAAACTATCTATGATCTTCGATCTTTTTTTCAGTATTACCGACATTACCATTCAATAAATGGAAGGATTGGGAAATTAAAACTGGACTTAATTTATATAAAATTGAGCTCACGGTAACTGGTCGGCTCGATACAAAGTCGTTTCGATACACTTGCAGGTTTTCTAGATGACGGTCAACCTCATGTTTGTTTAAATTTCCCTCATTTAGAGACTAGAGGTAAAAGATGAGCTCATGATTTGACTTTGTCTCCGCTTTAGGATAACCTGTTCCGGACCCTTATGAAAAGAAAATTAGCGTTAGGGAAAAAAGGGTAAGGCTGAACTATTTCGCCCTTCGGCTCTCTTTAAGCTCGTCCCGACTCATGCAACTGAGAGGCTGGAAAAAGCTAACTTTGTGCCCTAGTCTGAGTTAAGTTCCATTAGATTTTGTAACGTCAACTTAATTACCTGAGCTGAGAAACAAAAACAGTAATTACCTCATCGACGTTTTTAAAACGAGGTTTTTTTTTCGATGTAGTTCCTTACTTGGCTACTGAGCCGTAGATTAAGTATAGTGCCCGTGCTGTGAGAGAACACCTATTATCAAGATAGGCCACTTGTGCTCGTCGAGGCCGTCTCCTTGAACGTTGAAGCTGGCGATAGAGAACGCAAGTTATAAGTTCTCAGTTACAATTCGGAATGTCTATGTTTTATAAAAACGCTGCATCATCCAATCAAACATCACATGAGCATCAAATGCTAGCCGGGATTGCCTAGTTTCGAGTCTCATTTATATGGCATGTTATATCTGGCATTCACAGATAATAAAACCCAACAAATTGATAAGATATCATTGTTATCATTAATTGAATTGTAAAATAAGTATTCAACATAATGTTATATAATGGAAGGGATGGTAGCATAGATACGTACGGTACGCACGTGCGTATACCTGAAAAAGACGAGGCTAAAAAATAAAATACTATAAAATTAAAAAAGGGAATAATAAAGTGTGGAAAATATTATTTAAGGCAAAATTTGCCTCAATTCACTTAATTGTGTTTTTTTTTCCGATATACTATCTTTTGTAAGACAATGGACTCTTGTTTTCCACTCTCCTGTCTTCGCAGTACTGGACTAGGGAAAGATAAGGTCAACAGTGACTCTGTCAGTCGAAAAACAATGTGACACACCGTGATTAAAGAGAAAAATCACTCATTTGTCTTAAAGTATTATAGCTTGTTCTCCACGCTCTAAAGAGCGAGGAGAAACGGATGTTGTCGCAGGCTACTTGTTCCCTCGATCATATACAGTAAAAACGGTTAGGATCACCTTTAATTAATTATAATCAATACACAGATTTGGGACTCCATTTAATCCCCCGACTTTGGTTGTTCTCATGTATTTTTCCGAGTGTGTGATACTGAATAAAGTTAGTGGGGGGAGGGGGAGTGGGAGGTTGGCATAGAATTTGGAAAATTGTGCGTACTCCTTGAAAATCCTTGCTACACCCCTGCAGGGAGTCAAGAGGCTCTACACAGACGATGTTTTATTTTTATTTTCGTTCTTTTCGAAAACATCGGTGAGCTCGCGAGCGAAGCGAGCGCACGAGAACAAGCGCGGAGGGCGAGAAAGAAATCTATTTTCTTCTTACCCCACTACTACCTCCTTGCGTTGGCGGTCAATAAATCCCTGCGGTTTATATTTTAACACCCGCGCTCGACGGAATAAAGGGTCTGTGAACGGGATAGGGAGTCAACTACTTCAAGCATTTCTGCTTTCTGTAGAATCCTCATCACTTTCGAGTTTAAAACTGATTGTAGTTACTGAGTTTATTTATGTTACATTAGTGTATTTAAAAGTGATGGAAGCAATAAAGTTAGTTAAAATTTAAGTGTACCAGAACAGCAGACCTTACCCGATACCGTGTTCCCAAAGCCCACCTTCTTTTCATAACCTGGAACGAGAGAGAGTCTGGAGCAAACCTGGTCGGATTTTTTTAATTTCTATTTTAAAAATTCAATTTTGGAAATTTCCCCCTTCAACCCATCCCGTACTTCCGAACCCCGACAACCCCGACCCCGCCTTTCCCCGCGACCCACTAACCGCCAAAACCCTAGCCTGTTCCAGGCTCCGAGATAGTGGTGAAAGTGAAAACTCGTTCAAAAATAAGTCGCGCGCGTCTTATTTTCGCTTTGCTCGTTTAATACGTCCCAACTATACTATCTGAGAGCCCGGTACAGGCCATCCTCGGAGACCCAGGGGCAGTTAGTCGGGTCGCTAAAATGCTCGTGGTGAAAGTTTGCTGTAAGATCGAGACGCCACGAACATTTTATCGACCCGACTAACTGCCCCTGGGTCTCCGAGGATGGGCATAGGCTAATTCGAAGGATCGAAGAATCCGCCGAAGTGGCATCTTTTGCTGTTGTTGGTGTCCAGTCCATCCCGTGAGGTCGTCCTGTGGTTTCGTACCGACGTCTATGTTGTGGTTGCAATGGAAAGCACCAGCATAAAAGCAAAATCAAGTTTTTAAAACGAAGAAAAATGCTTATGAGGCTTCTTTAACGAATAGTAAGCATTTTTTTAGTTTAATGGAAGGAGAGCAAAGGATCAGGCTTATAGATGGCGCTCAAGAGTTGGTGGGTAGTGCTTGTCGTGTCATGTCATCTGTGTCATTTATTTGAAATAATATTGTAGGTGGTTCTTATCAAATATAAACTTGTGATTACTGTTTAGAAATAACCCTGAAATGATATTTCAGCAGAATCTGTAAAATATTGCTATGATTTCTCTCTGATTTCCTTGCCCCGCCATTTGCATACACGGCCACGCGCATGCGTTCATCGGTCACAGAAATCCTAGCTCAAAAGATTCAAATCTTTTAATTATCATGAAATACCCTTTTTAATAAATACATTAATTGCTGATGGTGTGTAATGCAAATAGGGTCTACACAAGACTTATTCAACTTTGCCTACCCTCGCAACTACAAAATCCCATTTGATTTCCTCCTTTTTGAAGCCAGGGAACAACAACAACGAGATGGAGTATATCTAAGTTATACCATTTAGTCTAGTTCTCTCCCTTCCTTCCATTCCTAGAATTTTATGGGCCACCCTTCCCTGAGCTTTGCGAGGTTCTGCAATACATGTATTTCATTAATTGCTTATGTGGTGTAATGAAATGATTTCTTTTTCAACACCCAGATAGAACTCAACTCTGGAGATCCACGCAAACCTAAATTGCCACATAAAGACTATGAGGTAAACAGAGCTGCAAATAACATTGGCTCATTAGACCATTCACAGTCCCCTATTTTTCTTTAAGACTGTTGAGTTTTAGCTCTTTGCGTTACGGGCAGCCATATCATCTTGGTTTTAATATACAGTGGAACCCTGTTAATACAGACACCAATTAATGGGACATGCCACAGTGTCTGTGTTAACCGGGTGTCCGTATTAAGCGGATTAATTTTAGAGAAAATATATGAGCTTCTTTTTCGTTGGGACAAACGAAACCATCCGTTATTTCCGGGTGTCCATATTAAGCGGGTGTCCATAGAGCGGGGTACCACTGTACAGAGGGGATCATGTTCTAGACTTGATACATTTGAAACCAACAAGATAGCCACCTGTATGCATTTTTAGTGCTTAATCTCGATAGTCTTACCGAAAAATAGAGGACTGTGAACAGTCTAGTGGGTCATTGGACAAAGGAGGAATGTTTAGATTGTAGTTAATATATAATATAATATAATTTAAAATTACTTGAGTTAAAATATTTACTTCAACATATAGATACTGGTGTGCCAGGGCATGTGTGTGGACTTGAAAATAATGTCAAAAAAGAGCAAAGAAGCAGATGTTAAATAAAGGAAAGATAGAAAACAGTGCAATAATATGCCTGTGTAACTAGGCCTTGATTACCAGCTGCTTGTGCTCCTTCCCTAGTAAAATCGCTGAATGGGTGGATTTGCCATGATTTTCGCCAATTAGATTGCTAAGCAGGCAGCGTGCAGCATAAATTATTTTTCCAGGAGCAGATATTGGCTTGTGATCATGTTTTAAAGTATTTTTAAGCTTAAGAACATGAAATATGTATGACAAAAAGACTTAAAGAATCTAGTTAATGGTGAGGATGCTTTTGTTATTCAACCAACCAGTTCTGGATTGTCAATAGGCCCTTTGCAGCTTGCCATTCTTGTGGTACAAAACCGCCATGCTGGGCACAAAAGTCGCACTGGGACAAGACAAACATAGGAAATTACCTTTTAAAATTATGTTTGCCTTTTGTTAGTCTTGCCCCAGTGCAACTTTTGCATCTCAGTGTGGCGGTTTTGTACCATGTGAATGGCAAGCTGCAAAAGGCTTATATTACTTTCCAATCTGCAGTAGTGGTTGTTGACAGCCACTGTGCGTGAACAGATCACTAGTGGACTTTCAAGTCCATTCTGTGGTGATTTCACTCCTTACTTTACCAATGGGGGATCAATGGGCATATCTTAAATTGCTGCTGAGTTTATGCGTGAAAAACAAAGCGATGAAGATCAAGTGTGTTTGTTCAACATGTTCATGTTTTCCGTCTGCAGAGCCTTGATTATGATGTGTGTTACAACAAACCTTTTTCAAAAATGCTGGCATCAAGAGATAAAAAGGTTAGAATGTCAGATAAATTAAATTAGCTACTGACTCTTTTTACTGGGTTTATTTATTTATTAGTAGCAAAAATGAGATCATGATAACTAACTTCATATTATAAAAATTAACAGCATACTTGATATCTTGATTCTGATCTTTATTGGCAGTCATTTTGGGGTCAGGAACTTGTACGATGGTTAGTTACGGCTGCTATTGGGATCCTAACAGGACTGGTCAGTGGACTAATATTATTATATCCCCCAGTGATAGTTAACAATAAATTATTCCATAAGTGCGCATTGGATATGAGGTGGTAGGACACACCTTATTGGCTATAATCATCTCATGATCATATCCAACCAGTGCAAGTGGAATAATTATTGTTTTATTAAAAATGCCTGTCAAAATATTGAGAATTCTTCCTGACTTTATTTGTAAAAACAACCAATTTTCAGCTTGTTTTTAATTTTGAGCAGACGGATACAATTACCATATTTAGAGAGCATGGTATAATGGCTCATACACCATAATGGCCAAGGCTATGCTCTAAGGAAAATTGAAGGGAGCCCAGTGCTCTGAAACTGTAAAATCTAGGGTGCCAGCATATGATTTGTATGAAAAATATGAGATTTTCTAGTCGTCCAAGGGCAAAAGTTAGGCACTTGGGGCCACCGGGCTCTGTTAGAGCACAGCCCTGATGGCTAAGGCATTCAGAGCTCTAGAATTGCATTATCCAATGATTCAGTTTTTGACAACACTTATTATATAAAATTATTATAATATATATCCTTCTTTAACATTACTTCAAGCTCTCTATTAAATTCCGTTTAATTTGATTTCAGGTAGCTGTTTTTATTGATTATTTTGTGACCCTTTTAATGAGTTGGAAATTTGAAACCATTCATAAATGTATCCTTTGACAAGAATCATACTGTAAAAGATGCTTTTAATCACTACTATTTCTTTGTATACTCTGAGAAGCATAATACTTACAGCAAACATAGAGATTAGACCATGTGTTAAGTGGTTTGTCCTTGACGTTCAGTTTGTTAGCTCTTTTAGAATGCACACCCAAGGGCTGTTTAGCTGTAACTCTTCTCATTTTAATGGCATTTAATGGTGTCTTCTGTTTGGTTGCTGCCATTCTCTGTGCCATTGAGGTAAACATTGAATTTTGAGCTGTTGTTAGAATTTGTATTTAATAATTTACAGGATGTTAAGTCTGGGGTTGTATCCGAAAGGACCGTATCTAGCTTTAGAAAAAGAAAAAGAAAATTTTTGTGTTGTGTTCACCTACTTCATAAAGCAGGCACGTGAAATTAGGTATTTTCACATTGTAGTCATGCAGTGATGGCAAAGAATTGTACAAAAAAAATGTTGCACATGCAAAGCTGTTGTTTTGCTAATCTAAACCTATTATTTTTTCCTGTTCTCATTGCCATTGCTGTCCCCATTGTCGTTGCTTAAGCTCTGTATTGTTGTGATCCAGAAAGTTTGCTACCATGGTAATGTGACGTCACACTTCTCCTCTCTTTTGGCAAACTATTTATTTGCACTTAGCCCCATTTCTGAGTGAATCAAGAAATCATGGGCTTTTTATGTTTCCAATGTACATTCGTGACTGCATCTTTTGTGCAGTGAATGTCTCTCTCTCCCTCAGGGTTATGTTGTCATGTTTTTGCAAACAATTACACTACTACATATAAAACAAGTATTTTCTTAATTATCTTTTTCTTTTTCTTTTTTAGCCTGTAGCAGCTGGAAGTGGAATTCCTGAAATAAAGTGTTACTTAAATGGAGTAAAGGTTTGTTATAAATTGTTCAATGAACAGATAAATTCTCAGATCCTGTGCACTATTGATTTAAATTATTTGCATTCAAATTTTCAACTCTCACACAGTTTACATAGACTCTTCTGAGTCACACTAGATAAAATTCCATGTAATCTATGTGTTACAGGTAAAAATTTAAATTCAGATTGAATTTATTTTTTTAATCTAGGTTGATTCTCTATTTCCTTTGTCAGGAGACAAAGAAAATAAGAGAAGCAACCTACATGTAGGTCACACGTATATGTTGTAGTTAATTTTTATCTCAGGTAATTTTTGTTTTTCTTGATTTTTGGGTATGGTAATGTATGTTAATGAAGTTGAAACAAAAGAAAAATAAAAATTACCTGAGATAAAATATCAACTACAACATATACCTTAAGTTCAGTCTGTTTGAATTCTGCTGTAGGTTCCTCATGTAGTCAGGCTAAAAACACTGATATGCAAGGCTGTGGGAGTCCTCTTTAGTGTTGCTGGTGGTAGGAACAAAATCATTTTCATTGTCTTAATTTATAATTTTACAATTATCTAATATGACAAAATCCTGCTTGGCATTAGCCTTTCCTGGCAGTTGTGGAAGGGTTGTAATGATAAATCAAATGCTTAGTCATTTGCTGTTATTCTGTCTTTCAAGTGGGATTTTTATTACTTTCGGCTGATGTGGAAATTTCCCACTGTAGACTAAAATGCTATATATTTCTTTTATGTTTCTATTAAGTTTTTACATATTGCTACATAAAGTTAAGGCTCTTTGACTAATTGATTTTTTTTTATTTTAATGGGTTTTTGTTGAAGGCAGTGTTTTTGTTTGAAAATGTAAGGTTTAACAAAAATTTTCATGATCGAATCAAAATATTTGATTTGGAAAGGAAACGATCAAAATTGAATCAAATCAAAGATATACTGTAAAAAAATTAATATAAATCATTATCCCCTAATTGCAGTGAAATACTACAAAGGGATACAGTCATGTTGTTCAAGTTCATGTTCCCAAAAGGGCATTACTTTTTGTTTTATATGCCAGGCTTGTTTGTTGGTAAAGAAGGTCCAATGATTCACAGTGGAGCCATCATTGGAGCAGGTGTTCCTCAGGTTTGTTAAAATCCTTTCCTTCATTGCTGAAAAAAAAGGGAAAGAGAAAATACCACAAGTTGGTGGTTACTTATTGTAGGTGATATGCTGATGAGAGTCAGACCACAAGGCTCGATCTCTACGTAAAAGGACCTGTGACTCATTATTGTCTTAGGGGGAATAAATAAATAAATAAATAAATAAATAAATAAATAAATTTGATGATGATGATGATGTCAAAGAAGAAAGGCCCGGTGCAAGGGTAGAGTATTGGTGAGGGCGCTCTCACATGTGGGTTGGGTTTGTTGTTGGTTCTCTCCCTAAGTCATAGTCACTTACGAGAGGGGGCTGTCAGCGCTTAATTAGTGGTTTTAAAGCCTGAGATCATGATGCTACTGCTGCTTCCTCTGTGAAATGGAGTCTGTCATTAGTGTGGAATTCTGCTCTTGTTCGTCAGATATCATTTTGCTGGGAAACCAGTAGTGACATTGCAAAATGTGGGCTGTATTCACAAGCTAGTGGTTTCAGGGTGCAAAGAAAGTCATTTTTACAGCTTGCCATTTGGGCAAGCTGAAGCTAACATTTACCAGCCCAAACATCATTTCAACTAGCCCAAAAAATGTTTTGATGAGCAGAATTGATTTCACAGTTCTTCTGTAATATTTGAATTCCTCAAAAAACTTCACTTGCCCATCAGGCAAGTTAAGAACAGAATACAGAATACAGTAACCCGATAGTAAAATCCACTACCCCGGGCTATTGGACACTACTTTCTTTGCATGCTGGGTTTGACCAAAATTATGGCTTTTTTTACTAATTGATGAAATTTATTCTTTTTCATCTCTCTCCTCTACAGTTTCAAAGTATTGCGTTTCGAAAAATCAAGATTAACTTTCCTTATTTTCGAACTGACAGGTTAGTAAGTTTGAGCACGAGAGTAAAAGTGTTATCAAAAAGATTTTAATTTCAAAAGAAGTCTCTTGACCCTCTGAGTTTGCATTGAAAGTGGAGTACATGTTTAAGTCACAGTGTAGTTTTCACCTTTCTTTATCAGGGATAAAAGAGATTTTGTATCTGGGGGAGCTGCAGCTGGAGTGGCAGGTATTTAAATTAATATACATGTAACACTGTATGCATAGGATTTAATTGTAACAGTGATTTACATGTAGTTACCTCTGCGTCCATGTGCATGCGTCCCTGACACATAAAAATCCCCAAAGACGCAAAATAATTCATGACATGTGTCCCATATGTAGGATGCAAAGAATGATCGATTGATATGAAGATTTTTTGGTAGAATATCCTGTTCGATTGATTTTTGTGGCTGTTGTTTAAAGATGCATATTTATTTTAGCCTTTTTTTGTGCTTTAAATATATAGAAGGCCTACATTTTAATTTCAGTAGTATAAAGAGTTCTGGCATCTGTCTCCAGATTAACTGTCTGGTTACATAAGGGCCCTGCATTTTCAATTTAGGCCTCCTTGTTTTTTTGAACTGTGCTTATTGGTTATGGACCGGAACTCATGATTTTTACAAGATGAGTCCCAGGACTTACCATAACTATTTATCACATAATCACTGTTGTATGTCCTTTAAGGTATAGTAAATTTGACATGTTGCGTGTATTTGATTTTGTAACTTGCAGCCGCTTTTGGGGCTCCGATTGGAGGAGTTTTATTTAGCCTGGAAGAGGGAAGCTCCTTTTGGAACCAAGCTCTTACTTGGAGAAGTGTAAGAACATTTTTATAAGCAATAAAGAGTTTGAAGGAAGCAATTACCCAAATGGACCAGTCATAATTTGTATTATTTATAAATTAAAGTTTATTGACACCCCTGGCTTATTTAGCTTGTTTACAACCCTTCAACAATCCATGCTCTAAAAACTTAAATCACTAATTTATTGTTGTACTGTTTTGTTTTTCTGTTTCAGTTCTTTTGTTCCATGGCATCAACATTTACCCTGAACTTTCTTTTGTCTGGAATCTTGGGCTATGGTTGGGGTTCATTTAATCAACCTGGCTTGCTCAACTTTGGAGTCTTTAGTGTATGTAATTTTTAAAACTTTATGTTTTGTTCTTTTTCTTTTTTTTTCAGTTGATAATTATATAGTTTGTAGCAAAAAGATCCATTTTTATCTATGTTGAATTGTTGTTGTGATTACAGTGTTCACATGAGTTACAGCAATGATCAGTAATATTATTTATGTAATATAATTTTTATTGTTTAACATACGTAGTTACAGTCAAGACAGGTCAAGCGTACCCTCCAAGATGCCATTAATGAATTTATCATGCAAAATTCAAATCTGTTGGTAGTTGTAGATTTCAGATTCATCTTTGCATAATTCCTGCATGTGTGATGAGGAGTGAATTGATACGCAAAAGTTTAATAATTATTTTGAATTTCTACCAGCTCACTAATCAGTTTTCTTGAATTGTGAATGTTTTCAAAGTAATTTTATCCATTCATCCAATTTTCAATCTGACTGAATACAGAGAGGTTATCGTAAAAAATTCACTACTGTTATATGCAGGAATGCAGATTCGAATTTGATACTCAGTTGCAGCAATGACTAACAGACACATTTTTCAATGAATTGATTCATTAATTATGGAATCTTGAGGGGTACACTTGACCTGGCATGACTGTATCACTGTAATGCAATTTGATTAAGTTGACAACAAAGAGTAGCTGCTATGTTTTTTGGTGTTAAGTAACAGATCCTTTTCCAGTGTTAACACAGTGTGAGGGGTGCCTGCATGAGCTCATGGGTTATAGGTATTGGCATCCATGGTAGCAGTTCATTGTTGAAGAACCTGCTTGGCACAGTTGGGGCCTCCTGATATCCAAGAGGGGGTGAAAAGAAAATCATTTTAATTTACAGCTTTCCCTTCGGGCAAGCTGAAGCTAGCAGTTACTAGCCTGGACGTCATTTCACCTAGTCCCAAAAACTTTTTGACTAGCAGAATTGATTTCACAGTTCTTCTGCTATTCGAATTCCTCAAAAAAAAAAAACATCACTTGCCCGTCGGGCAAGTTAAAAACAGAATTAACTAGCTATAGCCCGATAGCAAAATCCACTAGCCCCGGGCTATCGGACATTACTTTCTTTGCACGCTGCCAAGGCACCCTGCTACTGTTGTTAATTATTTTTATTTACTGTAGTGTAGTGAAGGAACAGAGAAATGCAATTTATGGAACATACAAGATCTTTTGATTTTCATGGCTATGGGATTTATTGGTGGTCTACTTGGAGCTTGGTTCAATCAACTCAATAAACATCTTACAGTGCACCGAATTTTGCATGTCAATTCACGAGCTAAAATTGTAAGGTTAGTAAAAATATATGAGTTATTAAGAACCTTTTTGATGGTGGATCAGTGGAAGTGTAGTTGTTAAACATGTGCAACACATAATATGATTATCTGGGAGAGTTTACCACTGCTCGGTTAGCGCAGTTGGAAGAGCACTGTTCTGCTAAGTGGCAAGCCTAGGCCCAAGCTCAGCTGGACCACCAACCAGGGTATAACTAGTGAGGTCATGTTGGCTGTGATCTTAGACCTTGTCTCAGCTCACTGGTGATTGTGTCATGGGGGAATGGCATTAAGCCATTGGCCTAGTCTCTTTTATCCCTCTTTCAAATAGTTAAAGGCAACGGAACCCACACTTCTGTTTAGAAAGACAAGAGGAAGTTTGTGGTCTACATTCTACTTCTGTTGTAACTTCACTTACACACATATCATGAGGTCTAAAGCTCATCAATAAACCCATTATGACAGCCAGCACTTGGCGCACTTAACTTGTATTCTGACATCACATTGTCATCCTGTAATCAGTGATAATGACACTGACATTATAATCTTGAGTAGGAGTGATGTTGACATTGACAGTAACAGTCCTATTCAGGGCTATAATCACCTAGTAGTTGTTCAAACCATTAAAAAAAGAGTTATTAATAAATAGTTATTGCAACATTCTGACCGATAACTGTTGTTTCAGTTAGATGCTCCTTTGAAAAATTTTGATAATTATTATCCTATAGCCTTCTTGGTTACCAACATTCTTCTTTCTTTGTATTTTTTGTGTAGGATTCTTGAAGCTCTTCTGGTTGGCTTTATCACAACATCCATTGCTTTTTTTGGACCAATTTATCTTGCAAGTTGTAAAACACTTCCAGCGGTAAGTCTGTTTAAAGCACGTTCCTGGCAGGACACAAGAGGTGATAATCAAACACGGTGTTACATGATAATGACCCTGAAACAAAGAAATAAAAAAAGCCTAAGATGCAGGCAAATGGTTGCTTCTTCTACTAATACCGCTGTGATGTTACTTCATGGGTCAGAAACAGGACAGTCAGAAACTGTTAGTAGTAACATACTTTGTTAATCTTATCATAATTGTTAATAGTAGTATCTGTTTGTATAAATCAGGCAACTACTTTACTTAGCTTGAAGGCTTTAATGTGGGATGATGGGATGATGATGTATAGCGTAATGATTTTAAGGGAATTGTATTAGTGTGGTTAGAAAGGGTGTACGCAGCACCCAAAAGACCCTACCCTCACCCCATTCTCCCACCACCACTGCCTAGATCTGCCTTGTTGAGCTTTTCTTCTAGGAATAAGCTGTGTTTTTCAATGGCCCTTGAGCTTCTAACAATCATTGTGTTATTCTCCACAATCTAACATGACCTTGTAGTTGCAACTTTCCTGGCAGTGATAATAGAAGAAGAACTAACAGTTGAGTGGGATTGTTCAAAAGTGTTTCTTCTTGAACTGTCTCCAGTCATGGATTGTTATAATGCTTTTTCATTTGTCAGCAATAATCTGCTTTTAGACCCAATGCAAATTGGCAGTTAATCAAAGAAAATACTTAAAACTTCTTTGCCCAGTTTAATCTGTGTGGTTGACATTTTTGTTGTAGGGCAGCACTAATGGTAATGACACTAAAGATTACTTTTGTCCAGATGGTCATTATAATGATATGGCAACACTGTTCTTCACCTCCCAAGAATCAGCCATAAGACAGCTCTTCCATTTGGATGGTAAAATATTGCATGCTACTTTATAAAAATTATTTGTTGTAGGTCAAATTTTGAGGTTAACATGGTTTCAACCTGTTTGCTGATTTTCAATTTCCTAAAATGTTTCCTAGGAAACAAAGGAAATTGAGAATCAGCATGGGTGAAAACCATTTTGACCAACAACAATGATCTTTATGCACCACTGTACCAAAGCTATCATTACAGACTAGATATATACTAAGGAGTTTCTTTGATCCTTGCTTACTTTATAGCTGTATATATTGTGAGAATTATAGCAGATAGAAGAACAAAATGTCAGAAACTTCCATTACATTCACTCTGGCCACTTTTTTGCATGGTTAGCTTTATGGTCCTCAGTCTGTTATTACTTACATTACTTTATATTTACTGCATTATTATTTTAATATAGACATATCACTGATTGAATTGTTCACCAGGTGCCTTTAGTCTCACATCACTGGGAATATTCTTTATCTGTTTCTATTTCCTGGCCTGTTGGACATACGGTGCTAGTGTTCCTAGTGGTCTCTTTGTGCCTTGCTTGTTATGTGGTGCTGCTTATGGCAGGTTTATTGGAGAACTTTGCAGGTACACTAGACAATTATTATTATCTAGTTTTTATCTGGGTTATGGGAACCACCTCACTTTTTCGAAAGAATAAGATTTACTTACTGGTAATAGAGGAGACCCCACCTTAATTCACTGTAAGCTCCTCTACCCCCTCCCCCACTTACTGGTAAAAATAATGTTCTGTTGTCGCTACCATTAAATACATGTACAATCAAATTTCTCATTTTCTCCCATGTGCTTTATTAACCAATAAAACCTGATGTGATTATCTTTTTTCTAAACTGGCTTCATTGCCCATTAGTTTGGTTTCGGCCTTACTCACTCTGTAAGGAGATTAATTTTCTGACGATATCAAAGTACATTATTGTGTTTGAATATTGACAGGATGCTTGGGTATCAGCACACATACCATGGAACATTTGCGCTGATTGGAGCTGCATCATTCCTGGGTGGCGTCGTGCGCATGACCATCAGCCTTACTGTCATACTTATAGAATCCACTAATGAGATCAGCTATGGCTTGCCAATCATGATCACGCTTATGGTTTGTGTCTTGCTCATTCAAGAACTATCTTCCACAGAATTTTACATGTCTTGTTTTACTTTATACGACTTGAGGAGAAAACTGTAGTCATTTCTTGCCGGTTATAATGATAAATTTACTTACATACATGTACAATGTACTTACGGCCTGGAAAAGAAATTAGTTCCAGCGCCCACATTTTGGTTGCCCAGCAGTATATAATTTAGCACATGTCCTGGCTGAGCCTCTGCCATCTTGCAAAGTGAGCAAGAAAAGTAACATGTACTGGCCTGAAAGAAAAATCTACTTGCCCTGTGTGTCTGGGCAGGTCTTTTTTCAAGCCCTGACTTTTATAGTACTAATGTTGAGGAATGGTGCTGTTTAGGCCAAGATCTTCTATCATGATTATTATTTTGCATTAATACTTCTCTAAAAAAAACTATCCCATGGTTAATAATTAATCAACCTTAACATTTCTGGATCACAACTTTACTTCAGGTTCTCTCATTAGCTATTAAACATCCTTGCGAAATGTGCATTGTCTTCATTGTGAATGTTTGTGATAGAGAAGGATTGTCAGATTGCTTCTTTTTATCTCAATTTGTGCAGGTTGCTAAATGGTCAGGTGATTTGTTTAATGAAGGCCTGTATGACATTCACATCAAGTTAAAGAGAGTTCCTCTCCTTGAATGGGCAATTCCTCAGGAAATGTACAGGTGTGTTCTAAAGTCTTATTCATCTCTCTTCATTAGGAAATCTATGTAAGGTTAACTGTATAATTTGAATCTTTCAGAAAACACTTTACCTCTCGGGTTTGCTTTGTCACCAGAAGTCACGAACAAGAATTGCTGTTCTTTTGATCCCCTGTTAAAGCATATGCAGTTCTTTCCAGATAACCCTACTGTACTACAGAATAATGAGCATAACAGATAATTTTCTGTTCTCCTAAGCAGTGAGGCTTTTGAATTCCCTATTATATGAAACTAACTTCTTTATTGCCCTTCTGTAAGCCAGTGAAGAGTACAACTCTGTCCAGTGCTTTTGAAACATTTGTGAAGTAAGCTTATTTTAGTTTAGCTTAACTATCATTAATTTGAAGAGCACTGCAGCAAGATCTAGTTCTATTGTTAACTTTATTGAGCATTTAGCATGAAAGGTTAAATCTGTTATTCTGTTGATGTAATGAAAGGATATTTGAGTTACAGCATTTTTGGCTGCACTTTAAGCAGATCTGATGATTTCTTCTTCTTTTTTTGCAGATTAAAAGCTTCTGATGTAATGGAGTCTTGCTTGTCATATATATATCCCCACACAAGAGTTCAGTCGATTGTTGGAATCCTTAAAACCACAGCACATAATGCATTTCCTGTAGTGACTGTCTACAAAGACTTGCAAAGTGAACTCAATGAAAGTAACTCTGAGGCTCATGTTGATACTTCTAATGAGCGATTTGCTCGTACAACCACTTTTTCACATTTAACAAGTGAACAGAAACTACTACGGCATTTACGGACTGGTGAAGGAAGTACTCTAGCTCATAGAAATAGGACCATATCAGACATTCCTATGACGAGTCGCCATGTGGATATTAAAGGCAAAAGACTTAAAAGTGACAGTGATAAAGACTGTTTGACATACTCTTCTTCTGCACCTGGTCCTTCCAGCTTGATTAATGAAGACCTGGAACAAGAAAGAGTCTTGGTTGATGACTATGATGACGGTACGATAAGAGAACAACATAAAGTAAATTGCTTTGCTGTTCCACTTGAATTAGAGTCAGCATAGGGCTGTCATGAAGGGCCAGGGATTTCCACTGCTAGCTAGTATGAGCATGACCTGCCAGTTACTTTCAAAGGAAACAAAAGGAAAATAGAACCAAAACATTCAAATATTAGCTGTTCAGTTCTCCACCTACAGCCCTGAGTGTACACTTATACATGCTAATCAGCTAATGGAAGCAGCAGAAGAATTTAAGAATTTTTATTGTGCAGTTTTCATGATGAGATGATCAACTGTGCATTACAACAATACATAGAATAAAATAACTAAATGATAAATAAGAATTACATCATGTGTTATGTATAATATCAAAAAAACATAACTAAGAATTAAAAGCCTTACTAAAAGGTACGTTTTGCTAAAAATGAATAAAAATTACATAGTTGTGTATAGGTATTAAGTAAACCTAAATAAGAATTAAAAGCAGAACAACATAGCAGCAACATAAGCAGACACCTAACAGAGGTCCTATTATATTTCAGGACTAGAAATTTACATTTTAACAGTCTCTCCTTAGGGAACCCCTACACCGTAAGTTAGGGATGTGGTTTCTGGTGACGTTCTCTATAATCAGTTTCAACTTCACATTGGAAGTGTTTATAACGTATTTATTACTTCAGTGTTGTAAACTGCATCATAAGCAGTCTGGCAGAAGTCTTTCAACCAAAAAGTCTAGTAAATTATCCCTAAAAAGCCCAGTGGGGATAAGTGGATGAGAGGATGCTGCATAAATTTACAATTTCCAAATGCAGCAAAAAATTGACTAAAAGGGCCTTATTGCTTTTGAATTTCAGTTTTACATGAGAGAATTGTTTCAAGTGGTGGTTCTCAAAGAGCTGCAGAACAAGAAGAGTCCCAAGCTTTAACATTCCATGGGCTCATTCTCAGGTCACAGCTGGTCACCCTATTAAAGAAAAGAGTTTTTTATTTAGAGAATTACCAGGTGAGTATGTATCTCTGCAGCTAGTATCTTCCAACTAATGGTTTCCATGGCCATTATTAATCTCTTGTAGGCAGAAAATGTCAAGACCAAAATAATTATATTTATCCACATTTTTGCCATTGTAGCCTGATCATAGAATGCAATAAATTATCAATGCTACTTCCACTGTGGATGGGATTAATTATTATTTTACAGGTAAACTGGTGCATGGAAACTAGGCAGAAACTGACTCTTGATCTAACATCAAATTCGTTTCCCATGATTACCACTTGCAATCACAAAAATTATGGAATAAATATCTGTCATTTGATTGCATATGTCACGTACTTTACAACTACAAAATTAATGAAGTCTTAAGTAATGCACATGAAAATACACACTTTCCTTCCATTTTAGATCCCTGGTCGACCAGGTCTAGATTTTGCAAGTATGAAAGAGGATTATCCAAGATTCCTGATATCCATGATCTGCACATTGAATTTGAAGACCAGCATAAAATTATGGTAAGTTTAGTAAATTATTTCATAACTTAAACTGCCAGCAAATCAGGAAGTGTAAGTCAGTTCTTTTATAGTACCAAGCTTCTAAGCAGTGAGTCATCCATTGTGTCAATCACACGCCAATGAGGCCCAGTTAGGATTAACATTCCGACAAGCAACATGGCCCTTAACATAATACTAAGATAAAATGGCAACAGACGACATGAGAATTGATTTACTACTGACAAGGACATGGCCTACTTCTCAAAATGTGAAACAACCTTATTTGAAATTGAGATTAGGAAGCAGCGCAGCCGATTGTTCAGTGTGTCAGACTCTCAATCCGGCGATCTCGGGTTTGATTCCCGGTCTGGCCACTTGCTGAATTTGTTCTCGGTCGTCCCGAGTTCAAATCCTCGGCCATGCTTGTAGTGTGCAGCCTCCTGCCCGTTAGGGTTTCTAATCTTATTATGTTCTATTTGAATCGTTTGTTTCATAATTATTTGAGTGGGGTGCCTGTAAACTAGTATAGCTGGATAAAATATTAAGTGCACTTTCCACTATAAATAAAACCTTTTTCTTTCTTTTTTTTAGACTAGGTACATACATACCCCCCTTAAGAAGTCCCCATCCATCCATAATTATTGTGTCAATAGAAAATTAATGTGGCAGTCAGTCATGCAACTTGTTTATAATTCTGTCAGCCAGCCAGTCCTGGTTTAGGTCACTTACCATTAGCCAAAACTGTGGTCACCCACACTAGCTATTCCAGTTGTAAAGAGGATCCAACTAATATGTGAGGACATTACAGCCAGGCAGGTCTGCCTATTCCTGAATAGCATACACAGTAGGGCTCTGATCATAATAAAATAGAAGTTACAAATTGATGAGTGTTTTTAGAATCAAAATGTTTTCTACCCAATCAGTCACTGTGCAAATTTAATAACCATTAAGTCAATATATAGAAAGTCAGCCATTCAGCCCAGCATCAAAAATGTAGTTTGTCTGTCTGTCAGTGTTTGTTTTTGAATCTGTAAAAAGTTAATGTCAAAAATTGTATAACTTACAAGTGATTGCCTTTTGTAAGTTAACAGAAAACATTTAATGTTTCTTTGTTTTTGTCAGGATGTGACCCCTTACATGAATCCGTGTCCTTATATGGTATATCCTTGGACCCCAGTACCTCTAGTCTTCAACCTGTTTAGGACAATGGGTCTACGACATTTGATAGTGATTAACACCAAGGGGCAGGTATGTAGGAATCATCTGTTTTCTTGAGCTAACAGCGTTAATTGTGCACGCTCTGATTGTGTCACCTTGACCGAGTTTCCACGGCTGGGTGAACCAAAGTGTTTAAATGTAAGCAAGTTGGTGCGGACAGGAGGATTACCCTACCATCACAAAAGGGTGACCCTTCTTGCCGGGCCAACGTTTTGCAAAAAATGTTTTTAAACTTGGCTCGCCCAAGGTAGCTTGGTCAGGTGGGTGAGCCTTCTACCTGTCCGAGGCAACTTTTCTCCATATAAACGGGATCAGAAAGACAAACTTGCTTTGTTCTGTTTTTTTTGTTTCAGCTTGTGGGAATGATAACAAGATACAATTTAACTCATGAATACATGGAACATTGCCTGGAGAATCTCACTTCTGAGTAGAAGAAATTATATAACTGATAATTTTTTAGTGAAAAGAAAAAAGTAAATACCTAATAATAAAAAAACAATGTCAGTAGATAGCATCAGATTTTAATGTAATTTCAGAAGAGAGCATGTAAGAAAATAGAAGTACATAGTTTATGCAATGGAATTTTTTTTGTTGATATAGTAAGATAGAAAATAAATTATTTTGAATTTTTTATGAAAAATTGAAGTCGTTTTGGTTGAGCAAATCAGTAAAGTAGAGTTGATAGTCTGGTGGCAAATCTGTGTCAAATACCAAAATCAAGGGTCGAAAAGTCAAAAAGTAAATTCCTTCCAGGGGCTGGTACATTGGAGGGTTATACCTTAGCCTGTGTCCGGCTCACATTTTGAAAATAAAACAAGCCAAGTGAAAAAGAGGGATATGATCTAGGGAAGGCATTGTTGGCTGGAAAAAATGGGACTGCCCTCTCTCTCCCCGGCCATGGCACGTTTTTCGCATCACTTTTTACTAAACGACTGCACTACCATCTTGGAGCCTGGAACAACCTATTATATCCTTAGCTAAAAAAATGAAAATTTCCTCAATATTCTCAGTCACAGTCTTCCTCCCAGACAGGAACCAAGGCTTTGCCTTTTGACAGTATTATCCTTTTAGAATATGAGCAGAACCATTGTCTTCCAATTTACCAATAGCCAGAATTATTGTCATTTTGATAACATCATATCTACAAGCAGAAGGAAACCTTAATTTCTTTTTATTTGTGGATTAATATTTACATGATTTATTTACAGTGCTCAGTCTAATCTATTTGATAATCATGCTGAAAAAGTCACACTCTAAGAAATTATTTTGTTCTGCACGATAATAAAATAAAAAACAATCCAGTTTACAGTTGTTGGTGGAATTGAGTCCTGTATTAACTGATATTTTATTAGCAAAAAGATAAACAGCTGGAGGGATTGTATGAAAATGAGATCAACCCTAGCCCTGCATTCAATCGAAGGTTAGGTTACTAAGCAAAGAACTGCAAAATGGCCCAGTCGGCAATAAAATTTAAATTTCATTTGCAATTTGCAATGAGATTGTAGAATATTATTATATATTAAAATGTAAAGTCCTTTTCCTCCTCAAAATACAAAACTGAATTTTTTTTTTTGGATTAGGTTACCCAACACCAGTATAAATCAAATTTTCACTTGCAGAGATTATTTATCTTCAACCTAAAATATTCAAAGTTTCTCTGCATTAAATTTCAGATGTGGTCCAAAACGTATTATTTAAATATCTACAACTTATAGCCTTTCTAATATTAGAACATTTCATTATTTACAAGTGCTATTCAAATTATGGACATAAATTCTGGACACAGCACAGTCAATGCATTGAACTCTAGTAATACACCATTTCTTTGGTTTGCTTTCTTTCTTTCTGAAATGTACATTGCTACAATATTTTTAGGCCAGACATTTCTGACCATATTATATTCTTTGAACAGTGGACATTCATCCAATTTCAGTTTAGCCCACAAGTAACCTCTCCATCATGGCTCAGGTCATTGTGAGACCACTTGTCTTGCCTTTCACATTTAAGAGTGCAGTTGGAGAGCTTCCTTGTAAATTAATCATTTATAATAGTATTGTTTTTTTTCTTTCTAAGAAATGTAAGCCAACATTTCCTTGACTCCATACTTCTTTGATCCTTATGTCCTCAGGAAGGGTAGGAAAGGCAAGCCTATTTATAACACACATAGTTTTTCACGGGACCAGGGAGGGGAAGATGTTGAACATTTTGGTCTATATCCCTTGACCGTAGCATGTGATATGGTGGCCCACGTTTTCCAATTGCACCCCTGATGGTGTGTCGTATTTGTGTGCGACAAATCTCCTGAAGGGTGTGTAGAGCTTTAATATCACACTGGTCACAGGTTCCACTCTTGGAAATATTTTCATTCTCTTGGCTTTGGCATTTAGTGCAGAAATGTTTCAGGTAGGATTTACACTTCAAAAAGAAACAGAAATATGATAGTGTTAGAATCAGATAATACTGAAGATAAAATATATAAAGGCTAAAAGACCCGGGGGGGGGGGGGGGGGTTTGAACCCTTTGCCCCTTTTTGGAAAAAAAATTTCCAAAAAAAAAAACCCTTTTTGTGCAAAACCCCCAATTTTTTTTATTTTTTTTTTTGACAATTAAAAAAAAGAAAATCAATTTTATATTTTTTTTTAAATTGGGATAACAATATTTAATCCACCCTGGTCTACTTTTTCCCTCTTTAAAATTTTTTTCTTTTTTTTGTTTTTTGTTTTTAGAGAAAAAAGTTTTAGGAAGAATTTAAAAATAAAAAAAAAAAAAAAAATATAAATTTTTAAAAAAAAAAAAAAAAAAAAAAAAAAAATAAAAAGGGCAAAAACCCGGGGGGGGGGGGGGGGAGGGTTTGACACCTTGACCCTGTTTAGGAAAAGAAATTCCTAAAATACATACCCTGTTTAGGACAACACCCTCAATTTTATTATTTATTATTCTGACAATTGCAATAGAGCAAATTCATGTTATAGGCTTTTGTATACTTGGAGTACAAACAAAATTGATCCAGCAAATCAAATCAATTGTGCAGGCAACACCCTGTTGACAGACTCACATGAAATTATTATATGCTCTGTTTTACAGGACAGAGAGGTAAAAAACCATACCCTGTCCAGTGGCACATCCCCGTATACTGCCGTATAGGACACATAAGGGTTAAGGGTTAGTACCCCTCCCCCCCCCACCCCCGAGGCTAAAAGATCAGTTCTATTACTGATCTTAGCTTTTATTTCTTCCTCCCTTCTCGTTTATAATGTATTTCAACTTACTTGTTATTATTTTAATACAAGCTTCTTTTTTAAAAACGCCAACCTCGGTTGAAAGCCATATAATAGTACAGGTAGAAGAATAACGGTTGTGTAGCTACACTGCACCGTATTGCAGGAAGAATTTTCTTTGTTTTATTTTTTTAATAGTGTCACTCTCGATTTAAGAGATAGGAACTATACTACACGCACACATTTTGCGCGGTCATGTTTTTTTCCCCGTTGTTGGTCATCTCTATTTTAAATTATTTATGTCCAAGAAATGTATTTTTACTAAGAAGGTTACTTAGCTTTTTCTCTTCTTAATGATCGTAACAGAACCAACTCTATAATCTTGGCGCCCAAATTTTGTTTACATGCGAAAAGCCGGCCGATAAAAAGTACAGTTTTGTACAAACTTAACTATTTTTATATGCCACGTCACCATAAAACACAAACCTGAGTTACAGATATCTTGGAGCAGACATCACAGAACTGTTTCTTACAACCATCACAAGGTGGATAAACCATTAGGGCGTGAGATAAACAAAGCGAAACAGAGCGGTCTTCATACTGCCCACAGTTGCGACAACGAAATCCACATTTTGTGCAGCAAAATTTCCCGCAAAAGCCGTACTGACACTGTAACAATGACCACTCTGGAACTATTCTTCCACAATCTTCACATTCTCCCTGAAAATCGTGGTAAAAGTCGACTGAATCACCGAAAAAATAGTGAGTGGAAACTTCAACGTCCATGGCGGAAGACATCACAAATTTCTGTTTGTAAACAAACCGTTAGATTTCCGGTAACATAAGGCCCACTCAATGCGCCAAATTAGTGGACTCCAATTGGTTAAATCTTAGAGATTTGATTGGTTAATTTTTTCAGTCTCCAAGCATTTGATTGGATAAGAATTGAATTATTGAGTGAAAGACATCAAATATGGCGGACGAAAAGGCAGGAGAAAGCGTAGAAAAAGAACTAACAGCGAAACAGCGCAAAAATAGAAAGAAAAAGGAAGCGGCGAAGCGTAAAAAACAGGAGCAAAGTCTTAAGGTATCCCACTGAGAATCTCATTTGTGAAATTCGCCATTTGCCCGTGGATAAGCGCTAATGAATTTATAAAATTAAACACTGAGCCACATTTTTGTAGGAATCAGGGAGAGCAACAGGAGAAAGTGAAGTTAACAATGATAACGAGAAAGCACCAGGAACAGAAGAGGTAAAAATAATGAATGTACGTATTTCCTTCTTGAAATCTCATTAATCAAAGCAATGGTATCGTTCTGAGTTTGATAGCAAAAACGACAAACAAAAGTTTTTTCTTCTCATATTTTGCTTCAGACACCGGAGGAAAAATTTCATCGTGAGCTAAACTGGTGTATTGAGCAACTTGAAATGGGTCTTGCCTTTCAGAAACGGGACAAAAAACAAGGTGTGTTTGTTGTGGCTCATTTAAATCTTTTTTTGTTTGTTTGTTTTAAACTCAGGTATTATCATACATTAACCAATATCCAGAAAAAAGGAAAATAAAATTCAAAGCAAGGTTAACCACAACGGATAAAATTTAACTTCTAACTACTAGATAACAGTGTGATAGTTATATTTGAAATTCCTGGAAGTAGCACTGACTGCCTAATTGTAATCAATATGGTGTGTGTCCCTTTTCTTTTGGCCTCAGTTTTGTTTACAATCACCTCAAGATGTCTGTGAAGACTGCTCTCCGATTTATAGTATTTTTATAAAAAAATTCACGTGCCCTTTTTTTGTTTTGATTTGTTATCTTTGTTGCCATCTCAAGCAGTCATGTTAAAAAAAAATAGATGAACTAGCAACTTCTTCTGACTCAAAGAATTTTCTTTATTTTACTAACATTTTTTCTACTAATACTTTTTTAGCTGAAGTTGTACATCGTCATTTACGATCTTTGAAGTCATCCAAAACTCCCATGGTAAGATAAAGATAGATTTCTTCAGACTTGAATTAAGAACTTCATAGTCTTATTCCTGAAATATGCTCATGACAAAAAAATCTTAAATGTCAAACATTCTCCTCTTTTTTTCATTTTCAGCCCAGGAAAAGGCAAATTATGTATTCATTGTTTGGAGATTACAGGAAAAAGATCCAAGATGATCAAAGGAATCAAAGACAAGGTTGTTACGCGAGTCACACTCGCTTCCGTTTGAGTTAATTATTGTTGATTCACTGCATGACTGTTTAATGTAATAGGATGGCTTAAATTAAGCTCGTAGAGTTAAGAGATCTATTCAGAGTTCATCTTTTGTTGGAGTAGCCTTTTTTTTCATTTTGTTGTTTCTTTTATGCATTGCTAGGAGTTGGACAGCGTAAGCGATTGTGATTTTCAATGTTTTATTCATTTTAGTTTCGAACTCGAGCCATATTTTTTATTGTAGTCTTCGAGTCATAGAGAAGCCAGCAAAACTGTGAACACTTGAAATATTTCAGGAAATATGTTTATGGTGTTACAACCAATCAGAACTAAAATCAGGACATGCGAACTAGCCACAAAACCACAAATTAATAATACATCTTAGTGTTTTTATTAACGTTCTTGCTTGTGGTTTAGTTTCTCTAACCCAATTGTCTTTTTTCTTGCGACACGATAACATTCCAGAAATATTTCTGGTGTCATGGTTTTCCCCGTTTGATTGAAATACAGTGAAACCTCTATTAAGCGGACACCTAGTGCATCTGCTCAATAGAGGTGTCTGCTGAATAGGGGTTCTTTATAAAGGGAAATATAAGACGTTAATTTATGGACTCGGCTTTGTGTCCACTTAATATATAGACATTTCACTGTACTATTGTTTATTGAGATTGGTCTCTCCTGATTACACATCTAGAGTCAGCTGCAGTTGTTAGTCCAAAGCTATCCTCTGTTAAGCAAGAAGACCAGAAGAGCATATTCGTCAAAGTTTGCCAAATGAAATCTTATACAGATTCTGGAAGACAGGTTGGTAATGCCATTTTGTGTGTTGAGTTAAGGGCTTTCTAGATTGTGAATTCCAGAGACTGCTGCAGTTTCCTGCCCACAAGTTGTCAGCACTTTGGAGCAAAGAAAGAAGGGAGCTAGCTTCCAGAATTAAGTTTTCCCATTGATGTACCAAAAATGGACAGATTTTTACTTTTTTTTTTCACTTTATTTTCTACAAAATGGCAGACTTTCTAGGGTTTTGCCTCTTGATCCCCAGAGATTATAGCACTGTTATGTTAAAAATAGTACGATGTGCAGTAGAACCCTGGTATCTCAAACTCTGAAGGGAAATGAAAAACACTTCGAGTTAGAGAGGAATTCGACTTATCATGGTAAATTTCAGTGAAGTTTTGATCAAGGAAAGGAGATTTAGTTCAAGTTAGCGGAGAGTTTGAGTTAGTGAGGTTCTACTGTACGCTGAAAATAGGCTCCTTTTTTGCAGAAAGCTCCAGAAGAAGAAAATGATGCACTAAATGAGAACTGGAAATTTCAAAAGTCAGATAATAGTTTTAAGTTTAATTTTGCTGCAAGTGCAGAATATTCATGATGATGGTGATGAAAAAAGGTTGTGATGAAAGCAGTGTTCCAGCCAGAAAATTGTGCTTGAGGGCCAAAGTGGCCCCTACAACCCTAGCCTGTTCCAGGCTCCGAGATGGTGGTGGAAAGTCATTCAGTAATAAGAAATGCGAAAAACGCGCGGGGGCTGGGGAGAGACAGCGCGTCTTATTTTCGCTTTGCTTGTTTTAATACGTTCCCACTATACTATCTGAGAGTCTGGCACAGGCTACTACAACCCATTTTTTGGGGCCAGATATTTCAAGAAAGGGCCAATGTACCAGTATCTCTCTAATATGCAAAAGAGAATCAAAATGTCAGTTTATTTCAAGCTGACATGGAGCATCCCTTTTTATACACAATAGAGGAAATCTTCGGTAATAAAGCTAACAGTACAATCAGAATGTATGCAATAAAAATAGTAAGTAATTTTTTTCATCTCATTTTCCACTTCACCATCAAGATCTGCTTTCATTGCTTATTCTGAACTGCTTCGTCTCCATCCACTTTTTCATTACTTCTGAGAAAAAACTTTTGATAGACCTCGAAGATGTGTTTGTCAGGTTTATCCTTTTTTGGGACGCCAGGATGGATACCCATGAGCTTCTGCAATATTACAAAAGCCAAGTTGAGGCTTAGTGGTCTCCAGACCACTCACGGTAAATCAGGTAAACTCAAGAAGATTCATTGATTGATTTTCAAGTTGTGTACAAAGGTACAGAGTCGTTGTTCTTAAGATTAAAAATTCTGTTTAATTGGAAAATTATTGTAGTTGAAGTGTCAGAGACCATTTTAAGCCCAGGCAATTAAAAAAGGAAAGGGCCATAATGGCCCTTGAACGCTTTTGGTGGGGGCCATCTCTCGATCTTTTGCAAGATTCACACAATGGCGCGCTCTGGCTGAAACACTGGATGAAAGTCAGGTCTTGTATCTCTAATGTCAGGGCAAAATTGTGGCTTAGTCATGCCATCAATTTAACCAGGGAAATATTACTATAAATTTATTGTTCACGGCTTTAGCAGACTGCAGGAGTATTCTAAACTAAAAATAGCTTATTACCAGTCAGTGAGCCAGTGGGAAGAATGGGTAAAGAAACCTTTTTGCCATTCTTCTTGCTGTAACACAGCTCTGCTGACAAGATACCTCCATTGTGCCGTAGACAAGTAAGTCTGCTCGCAGGCAAAGTTGGACTCCAGGCTACTCTATGAGAAGGCTTCAGTTGTGTGCAGTTGTTAAATTATTGTAACATCACAGACATTCTTTTTAAATTTAACTCTTCATTTAATAATGATATACATCAAAACTTTTGTCTTGGACAAGTAAAATTTTTTATGTGTTAAGTTTTTTTTACAAATTAAAAGACTATTGTTATATTTAGCTTCATATAAGCATTGAGCATCTTATTTTCAATGTAGGCATTTAAAGTGACTGTAAAAAATAAAATGTCAACAAGAAATTTATAAAATTGTTGTGGCAATTGTAGTAGTACAGTACTTGTCATAACCTTGCAGACTGACACATTTTTGTAGTTTTTCTCTTTATCAAACGTTGGAAATGAGCTTAAGTCATTTAAAAGTTTCTACTGCTAGAAGAGCTTGCAAGACTATTCAAGTTGAAGCTTACTCTGCTTTATTCATTTGGCTTGACAACATACTATCATAACCTATCATAGACAAAGAATGGAATTTGCTACAAAATCGGAATACTGCATTGTCAGTCAGTCTTATAAGGCTAATGTATCATTTCTACAATCAATTTTATAGATTCATACTGAGATTACGGATTATTGAGTACTCCTCTAGAATCTTAATTTTTTTTAATAGCCAAATGATAATCTGGCAGATAATAACCTCAACTTCAACATAAAATTTAGCACTATTTACAGCTCAGAAATATTGTACAAATCACAGAGTATAGGTACCACTCTGTAGCTTTATCTCTTGGTTGTCTGTTCTCAGGAGGAAATCAAGTGAATTATTAAAGTCTACAAATTCATAAGTGGTGCTGTAGAATTTTCTTTTCCAGAATAAAGTCCATCTTGTAAGCTCAGTCTCTTGGTTTTCTGTGCGCGGAATGAAACCCTGTTTCCTTTCTTTACTGCTTCAGTCAAAATAACTGAATTTCTCTGAGCAAGGGGAGATCGTGGGGCGGGAGCAACCTTGTCTGAGAACAGCTTTTGAGGGACGGAAGGACGACGTTCTGAGAGCCTTCGCTTTCTCTTAAAGTCGTTCGGGCTTGTGGTTTTCTTTAGCAATCGCGCTTTATCTTTCTTAGAGAGTGGAGCTCCTGGTGAAACAGGAGAAACAGAGGTCTCGCTGAGGAGTCTATTAATGTGTTGGATGTCTGGTGAGGGCGGCTCTTCGAAAGCGGCCTCATCGTTGTGTTCTTCGTTCTGGCTTTCTGTGACCTCATCATGATCGGTCGATTTTCCCTCTTCCTCCTGTACAGCGACTTCAAATTTTTCTTTTGATTGTGCTACTTCCTGTCCAACGGCAACAGTAATAGGAGTGCGATCTATTAGAAAACTCGGCGATCTTGGATCCACAACGTTCAGTTCTCGGTTCTGGGGTGATTCTTCGTAGCATTCCAATTGAATCGGAGTTCGCTGTACTTCAGAAAACGGGGACCGCGGATCGGGGATTTGAAGTCTTGTAAGACGTTTATCTTCAGCTTGAGGTGTTTCTGGAACCAGTTCTGACCATCGCTTGCTTTCTTGTGCACCCATGTTTGCTGTTAACAAAAACAGAACGCTGAAGCCAACTTATTCGAGCAAACGTCGCGTGGTTTTGAACCAACGATCGAAGATTCGAAATTTTAAATGCCCCGGTTCTGCGTGGTTGGTGACCAATCAGAGTAATTTGTTCATAAGTTACGCAGACCGTCATGAATCGCGGATTCATGGGTACGAAAATGGCGGGCTTCCGTGGATGGTATTTCTTTTGTAAACTCGATATTACCCTGATAACCCCGAGCTTCTTTTGATGATTTAGCTAGCGTTTATCAGGAAAATGTTTTACGTTTCGTCTTGTGGTGGTATTCATTGCTTGTTAGGAGAAGAGATGAAAAACAGCTCGTTACGGTCGTTTCCATCTCGGCGTCCATGCCGACACACAGGTGATCAAGTGATCATAAAATGCTTTCCGTGAAGGCAAGTATTCATGACATGACGATTTTGACTAGTTCTATTGTTTCCTTTGTTTTGACTTTTTGTGAAGCATATGAATATATTAATTAATTATTATAAACATAATTATTGGAGATGTACTGGGGGGTCAAAAATTGTACGTTTTTCCCTGAAGCGCCTTAAAGCGCTTTTTTTTTAGGTTGAAATAATCGTGGTTAACAAAATGTCAATCAATTTTGCCTGTGATATTTTTACAGAAACTTTTATTCGATCATAACGAGCATAAGGCAAAGATCAAATTATACTATTTTAATGTCCTTAGCATGGTAGGGAAAGGCACCCTTTGCACGTTAGCTCCTTGGTAACCAGACGCGGTGAAAACAAACTGTCTATTGTACGCTCCAGCCAAACTGTAGCTGTTACATGTCATAACATTTTGAATTGAATGATTTGTTTGAAAAATCTTCAGCCTGTTTAACGACTGTGTTTTACCATGACACGTTACCCTTTCAGTGAATTACGGGTAAATAATTTTAAAATGGAAGACGGCAAGGAAAGGCACGTGAAACGAAGCGAGGCGATCGAAATTTCGTGTGGAGATGGAAAGAATGCGAACAGAGGCGAGAGTTTACAGGAGGCTTTCAAGAAATTCCGCAAGGATAGACAGGTATTCATAAAACAAACCGATATGAATTACTTGATGCGCAAATATTTAGGAATTTACTCTGATCGATCTACGGCTGAAAGATGTCTTTGTCGTAATTTTATATACCCTGCGAGCAGACGGAGGCCCTTCGATCTTCCTAGGTGAGTCTTCCCGACTTATCTAGGAAGATCGAAGGGCCTCTGCTCGCAGGGTAAATTTCATATTACTGGCTCGTTTCTCTGAGGGTTTTTCTTAAGAGAAGGTATTATATCTTGCCTCAGAACTCACTTGAAGTAATTTTATATATGGAATAGGTTACAGCCGTGCATTTTGGAATGCAAGTTTGTGCATTTTTTGGGAAAAAAAAACGTTACGTCTGTAGGGGAATTCAATACCCAGCAAAAGGTGTTGAAGGAGGGAAGGCGGGTCCTTCCGCATATAAATTCTTTCACTAATGTCCCATTGGCTAACATCTAAAGTAATTTTGCTTACAAAATGAGCCTAGCTCTACACATGTATGTATCTTGTTCTTTCAGTTGTGAAACGGAAAAGTCTGATGTACATGTGCATACCTTGCCTTTGATCCACTGATAAGGCAAAGTAAATTGGGGAACTTACTTAACATGTTAGTGAAATGACTTAAAATGCTAGTGAACAGGACATTGGCAACATGACTAGGGGCACCCAAAGTCAATTTTTGGAAAATACCTTTCTAGCCTTTGTGTCTATGTTTTTCAGAATTTTTTAACTAATGGGTTTGGGTAGCACAAGTTTGGGGAGTTGGCTTTCAGGCAAGTTTACTACTGGTTATCAGTTGCAGACATTTGGTAATCTAATCTGTATGTTTTTATTGTAGAAGGCAATACGTTTGTCTAAGCAAGTGAATGAGGAAGCAATAAAGTGGAGAGCCGATCCTAAAACAATGCACAATCTAAGAATGAGATTTGTTGAACAGTGCAAGCAGTACTTTGGAGTGCCCTATGCAAAGAAATACCAGGAACCAGGAAGTAAGACTTTGATGTCCAACTTTTTAAAATCTTTTTTTTTTCTACCTTCTAAAATAGAATAGAGTGTATGTACTGTAAATCCTCTATATAGACCCCCTCCCCTCCCGTTATTATTCTTCACTAACAAGTGAGAGACTGTATTGATCAATCACGATCGTAAAACTTCGCGTGCACTGATCCAGGAGGGTTTATTTACCAATTGGAAGTTCCGATTTGATTCTGATCCTTGGCGACATGACCTCTAACCTTCTTGTTCTTGTGAGCTTCTCCACTTTGTATTCTAGTTCTTTATGGAGAACTGATACCATTGTCTTTTCTAAATCAAATAAGCCCCCCCATTCCCTCTAAAACGAATGATCCTCCCCTAATGGCTTAAAATAAATAAGCCCCCCAGGAAGGGGGGGTGGGGGGGCTTAATAGAGGATTTACGGTATATAAAAAAATTCTCATCATAACTTGTAGTTAACCCTGCATGCAGAGGTTTCTTTCCGTCATGGCTTTTAGCATTTATGAAGTTGTTTGTGTTGCTTGTCAGTCGCATAGTTGGTTTGTTTACGCCCCCATAGGCAAACCAGTTATGTGACTGACAAGCGAAGTAAAACAACTCGTAATCGCTAAAAGCCATGTCAGAAAGAATCCTCAGCTTGCCGGGTAATTTTAGTGCACGCTGCCTTTAGTTAACAAAGCCCAGGTCCTTTTGCAAGTCGTTCTGTTATTGTATCAAAATGATTTGTTAATTAATTAAGCAATGAATGGTTTTTCTTAAACAGGCAATGAATACAACTCTCCTTTGTTTCTTGATTGTTGTGGCTTGGTCAGAAAAGTTCTTCGGGATCTCAAGGAGGACTTCGGTTTTGAAGTTGGTCCCTGGAATCAAGCCTACATGGTATCAGTTTTATTAATGTGTAATGAATTATTTATTCTTATGTGTTAGTTCATTTAACCCTTTAAGCCCTAAGAGTGATCAGCATCAAATTTCTCCTTGTGAGATCAATGCTTTGCAAAACAGAGTGGTCATGAGAATTACGGACATGATCACATAACATGAATTTGCGTGATATTTTATCAACTTCTCCCCACTACTTCTGTAGGAAATGAATAGGGGCAACATATGAGAATTCAAATTTTGATCTTAGGGTTTAAAGGGTTAAGACCTCTCGAGCAGTACTTTCTTTGTTATTCTTTTGTTTTTCATTACCAGGGCAAGAGTCATTAAGGTTTTAAGTTGCCATGCACTAGTCTCTTAGGAAAAGTAATTGGTCATTTATCCCACAAATTCTTCTGTGTTTGTAATGTTCAACTTGGGATATGTGTTTCCCAGGTAGGGAAACACATATCCCTAGTGGTATGTGGTATGTGGTATGTGTTTCCCTACCTGGGAAGCCTCTCCCTGTATATGGAAAAGTTTTAAAGTATACACAGCTTTTCTTTTTATGGGCCTCCCATTTTGGAAAGAAATCATTGAAGAATACAGAGTAAAATTATGTGGATCCAACGTTTTAAACTGTCATCTAAAGATAACAACGACTGATTTGCGTAAAATAGGTCTTAAAATGAGGGAATGACATTTCAGGGAACTTAGCTCCTAAATTTCCACCCCCTTCCCCACTAGGAAAGTGCACATCTGGTGCATATTTTTTGCCTTACCGGCCGTGAATGGTCCCTTACCTCCTGAGCTAAAATTTAGGGAGAACACTATATTGCTGTTTTGTAAGGAAATGTTATTTAATATTTTCCTTATTTTAAAAATTATTGAAAGGTAAAGAGGATTAGATTCTTATCTAATGAGCTTTGTTTTTTCAGTATGACACACTTCCAGTGGATATTGAGAAGCCAAAGGACATGAAACCTGGTGATCTGGTGTTTGTATCTGGAATATACCATAATCCTAAATGTAAGTTCAAATTACACTCAAACCCACCTAATATGGACACAAAAGGAAGGGTATGCATGTTATAGAGTGGTTTCAGTTAAGAGGAGGTAGCTAATATATGAAGTTTGATGTCTCTGAGACCAAGAGAACTGTTCGTAAGAGAGAAGTGTCCATGTTGAGGCTGTGTCTGCAAGGAAGGGTTTGATTTAAATAAATTAACAGTGAAAAAAAAATTGCACACGTTTATAAACCAAAGCAGTAAGTTTTATGCACTAAAGTAGTAAGTTTTATGCACTGTTTCGTTGGCAATACATTAAATGTCCATCATTCTTATTTATTTATTTCTACTTTTTTATTCCTGCATTTCTGTTAGTTAAAATGCATCTATCGTTGATTTATAGTAGGTACATGTAAGTGGTTCCTCTGGAAAAATGTAATGCTGTTTTATTTCAAATTTTCAGCAAAGAAACAGCGCCACAACATGGTCCATGTTGAAGTTTGGGCAGGTGATGAGGAAAAAACAATTGGTGCAAGATGGCAACGTGGAAAGTAAGGTTTTGTTTGGTGTTTTTTTTTTTCGTGGAAAAAAATGAGTCGCTGCTGTAAAATTGTCATTTTTTAATTGTGATTTGGTAATAATTACCTAATAATTTGTCTCAAATCCTTCTGCTTGAAAATTTTGGGGGCTTCATATAAATATAAATAGATAAATAACTTAGATTATTTAGTTTTTTGTATTTTTATTAATTTTATTATAACTGTTGTATTATTATTTGATTATTTGATATTTTTTTTCCAAATAAATTAAACTTTCAATATATTAATGATCATGTTTAGGATACAGTATCATGATTCTTACAAGTTCAGTGCCAAGAGTTACCACAGCATGCAGTATCATTTTAAATCGATTGACACATGGCTTAAGGGTATCTGCAGAAGCCATTGTCCAGAACATTCCTGGACAAGGTCAAAGTATCAGCCAGGAAAAAAGTCAATCTTTGCTGAGGATCAAGCTAATGAAACCACAGATCAAGATGCTGAGGAAGACCAGGAAATTGATGAACAAGTTAATGTTTGTGGTGATGGAAATAGCTTCCAGTGCAATGCATCAAGTGACAAAGGTTTAGAAAGAGTTGGTCAACTTGTCTCTGCTGAAAAACAAAATATCATCAGGAATCTGTCACAGGATTGTTCCACTTTTGTTGAAGAATTTTCTTGCAAAAATGGTCATCCAGCTACTGATGTTTCATCTTTATCGGCAGAGTCTCAATATAGACAAAAAAAATTTCACAGTTTGGATGAATGTGTTGCCTGGTTAATATCAAACATAACAGTTGAACTTGAGAAGGAGGTTAGTGATGAATGCAATGCTAGTGGCTTAAAGCTGACAGATTCTTTCAATGTCATGGACGAAGATTTCAAGCAGGAACCTGTGAGAAATAGCTGCCAATGTCCTCAATGTTGCCATATAACAATAAACTGCATACATCAAGACAAAACTAATGATCATTATTATAATCAATTCAAGGATGAGGATCAATTTGAGAGACTTGAAGATAGTAAATACATTTCATCTTCACTGGAATGTTTTGATTTTGTGTACAATGATGCTGGTGACAGTCAAGCTGTTTCAATAATCCAATGTCCAAACAACTCCACCGGTGGTAGCAGTAATGCTCGACGTTCTGTGTCTCCTTCAAAAGCTGTAAGAAAGGGGAAAGGTGCGTGAAAGAATTTTGATGCTATTAGTAGCATTTTGTAAAATTACCAGGGCTGTCACTATGGGCAAGATCTCGGGCTACTTTCATAGCAAACAAAAGAAAAATAGAAGCAAAAGAACTACCTAATCATTCAATTCCCCGCCTGACCAGCTATTGCATATATCCATCCACTTGAAATCTTAGTGACTGTGCTGACAGATTACTTTGAAAAGTGTATGCAATTTAGTTAGCGGGTGGCCTGAAACGTTTCTGTTCATTTGTGTGTCTGCTAAACTAATGGGACAGATAGTTGAATGCAGGCTGCCAGTAAAACTGCTAGTTGTTTATATTCTGAATTGGCCAGATGAGCCCACATTAATTGTTTGAAATGTCTCGAAAATCAACCTCTCTATTAACTATTGAATTTCTCGTAAGCTGAATTTTTTAGTCAATGAAATTTTCATTAAAAGTGAACTTTATCCATAAAAGTACATGTATTTTTGTACCAGCAATCATCAGCTGAAATTCGTCCTTGTTTTTAATTACCAGTAAGTTTGCTTCAATAGAATTCAGCTCCTGTTTTTTGGCTAATCAGAGCATTATCAGACTGAATTAGTTGTTTATAGTTTGTGTAAAAGTAAACTTACTTTTAGCCTGAATTTCATCTGATTACTTTGAGTCGTTATTCCTCCCTCAGTAACGTCGTTGTTGAGAGGAGAAAGCGACTCGAAGCAATCGGATGAATTTCAGGCTAACTTACTTTTTGTTCACCATAAATAGGTTCTGGAAATGATTCGTCATCAGGAAATGGAAGAGGGAATGAAAATGAAAAGAATAACAATAGCAAGGATACCCCACACAAGAACTCGCGAGGTGGTGCAAGATCTGTCAGTCATCAGAATGGCAAACAGCCAAAATTTTTTATTGGAGGAGGAAATGGAAACTGGATGTAAGAATAAAGTTTGGATCAAATACTCTAAACTAAAGGAAATAAATCAGAAAGCCAATATCTTTGCAACACCTGTTGTGATCATGTGATCATCAGTTGGAAAGGTTTCACATGTACTTCTTTCAAATCACATGACTCCAAAACATCTTGAATTTTAATAAGTTGTGTGCTTCTGCATTATTTTAAGCTTATAAAAATTTAGTGATTTTGAGAAAACATGTCAAAAGATGTCAAAAACTTTGTTAAGTGGCAATGACAATGTGATTATAGTTTGTAAACAAGAAGTTGAGACACTCCAAGACACTTTAATTATGGGATAAACAGATGAATTTTTTTTTTTATTTTCAGTGACAATAATTATTGGCTAGTTAAAAAATGAGTGTTCTTCAGGAATAATATATTAATCACAACCATTTTCTGTTTGAATTAAAGGATTGAATCTACATTAGTTTCACTGGGCTGGAGTAAGATTGAAGACAAGATGGATGATTCTTTTAAACTAAAATGGGTGGAATGCAAGAGTCAGATAAACTACGACAGTTTCAGGGAAGGTAAGTACAGGATCAGTAGCTACTATACAATCAGTATTAAATAAAAGCAGTGATTTTGGTAGCCCTGTTTCTTGTGTCTCTGACACATGAAAATCCTGAAAGACGTAAAATTTCCTGCGGAGCGCATTCCGTAGTATGCCAAAATCCACTGAAGATTGAAGAATTTCCTGTTGCTTTGTGACTTTGAATCTGTAATGACAACCTGCGTGAACTCAGTAAGAGAGTAATATCAAAATTTCTTTTTTAACAGGAGAACAACTTGTAAATCACATTTCTAACATCAATCTGCTCACAACAAAGCTTGGTCTTCTGTGCAGCTTACAAGAATACCAAAGGGTGCAAGAAAAAATGGCCAAGACACCATCTAAGTAAGTGAAACAGCCCACATCTCATCTCTTGGCGGTGGAATCCTCAAGTTAAATAAAAGATACTCAGTATTTCGATCTGAAGTTGTGAACTGTGACCACTCATATACAAGGTTTTTATTACGTAGATGTTTGTAGTTTGCTATGGATATTAGACCGGCGCGTCGCCTTTTCTCGCGTGTGGTGATTTTCACGCGCGCTCGCGTTTCGCCCGCTCTACTATCCCTGAGGAAAAATGGGGACTACTCAAAGTCTATATGGATATGGTGTGTTTTGTTGTTCTGTGATATAGAAACCTGATGTTTTTACCTACAACGTGTTTTCCTTTGTTTTGGTTTAATTTTTTTAGGCTCCAAATTTCAATGAATGAATTTGTACCTGAAACTCACAAGCTGATGTGTGAAACGGAAAAACTCAAGTTTGTGAATGAAGTCTATAAAGGTAAGATTAACTCGTTTGAACCGAAGGTGTCCGGTCAAGTCGCCCGAAAGTCGTGTCGCCCAAAACCAGTGTCATGTCGCCCAAAATTTTAGTCAAGTCGCCCGAATTTTATTAGGTGTACTACACGTAGAAACAGAGGTAAATAAAGAGTGTGTGTACAATAAAATTATAGCTTGTTCTTTACACCATCTTGAGACCAAACAAATTGCATAAATGTGTTACATAACTCGTTCTTTAAGTGATGATAGGACGAATCAAGCGATAAATGTGTGATGTATCTCGTTCAAGTCTTTTCACGCCTTTTGTTGTTGTTGTTGGTGGTGGTATTTTTTTCCTTGGTTTTGTACTCGGAGTTCCTTTCCAGTGTGGCGTATTACCATTAGAAACAACCTCCTTTCGTTTTTTGCTCGGAGTTATACTGCGGGGCTAAATTATGGCCACTGATACTGCAATATGGCTGAGTACAGCTATTTTATGACCGCTTTCAGTTTTCACTGTCAGGATATTGATTGGCTGTCAAGTCTCGTGCCAGGCTTGTTTCCAGTCGTCTGCTTGAGTTCGGATGTGACGTCACCGGGAGACAAGGCAGCACAAGAACATGCAAAGTTCTCTTTTCCTGGTTTTCCACACTTGATAATGGCTTTCTGACTTTTTTATTTTATTATTTTTTTTTTTTACGGGGAGGGAGTGGCTTGGAGTAGACCATTTCGCTCGTCACATGGGGGCGGGGGAGGGGAGGAACCTTGATCTTGACCAGTCGAGATGTTCTCAGTTGAAACAAGATTTGAAGGTCTTCCTGAGCTTGGGGCTCTGAATGTATGTAAAAACTGTCCTAATTGCCAGAAGAAATGGTATTACAATGGGATGCCGAATTCATTAAGCAAACACTTCTTACAACTGAGGGATTTTTATTTTCAGACGGTGAAACTTGGATCTGTAAACCAACAGGCATGAATCAGGGGAAAGGCATCTATCTTGTCAGCAGCAAAGAACAACTCAAAGAGAAGCTAAACATAAATGGAGAGAGCGAATCCAGTGCAAGACGTAGTGTGGTGCGACCACCTCAGGGACGAGTCATACAGAGGTACAAATAATGCCTTGAACTTGCCTTTGGCTTCGTCCACTCTGATAAAATTGTTTAGTCGCAGTCTCCTGAAACCGTTGAGTAGCAGATTATTAGGGTCTAGTTCTGCCTCCGCCGGCAGCTTGTCATTGCTATAGTGTTGTCTCTGTGGAGACAACATTGCAGTCGGTTTACGGTCATCTCACCATCAACGAAATCGCCACCAACAAATAACTCTCAAATCATTGACACAGTTTACTGCGCTTTTCACAAACATGCGAACTCTAAAGTTCAAAAGCCGCCTTCACAATTGCGTTTTTCGCTGCCGTCAATCATAATTACGATCACAAGCAAAGAACCTTGAAACACAGAAACACACAAAACAGATCGAAATTCACCAATCACAAATCAGAAACCATGACCTTTTGAACCTGTTAAAGTAAAGTTTTGTGTCCTAAGAGGTCCGTTGAGATGATTGACGGCAGCGAAAAACGCAATCGTCAGTTGGCTTTTGAACTTCAGAATTCGCATGTTTGTGAAAAGCGCAGTAATACCTAGGATTACTTACCTAAGATTTTTACTTTTTCGTCAAGCTTATGCGAATTTAAATTCGTCGACCCAATACAAGTCTATCGATCCCAATTGACGATCCTTGCGTCGAACGTCTTATGCTCTTGATAATGCAAATTATAATAATACATGTATAGGTTCTGTAAGTGTAAGCTTTGACATTTGAGAGATCATGATAAAAAACTTTCAGAAACTTTCCACAACCACTAGTCATTTCTTTGAAACATGAAAATAAAGAAACGGTTAAGAAACGTCATTCCATGAAAGTTTAAAACAATGCTAAGCTAAGTTCTATTCTTGATGACGAGATAACCAGATACCTTGCAGTCGGGTCACCGTCAGTGTTATAAGCAGATTTAGCAAAGGAAGCGCAGCAGCATATGAGAACCCGAAAACACGCGGAAATGACTGAACGCCAGTTCGGTGCTCAATTTGCTGTCTTGCTGTTGGTCAAGCCGGTTTTTTGTCTTCGTACGCCGTCTTTAGCTCACTATCGTCGCGTTGTCTTTCCTAATCTGCCTTATGTGCCTTAGGTGAGCCCTTAGTTGACCTCGTAGGAGGTACCCAAATTCTCACAGTCAAAACACTAGAATTAGAATTCTGGCAAGCGACTGCTCGTTAGCAACTTGAGACTACTATTTCCCGTCTGCTTTTCTTTTTGGTATATCCCATATATCAACTAACAATTCATTGTCGTTTCATTGGTAGATATGTGCTGAATCCCTTGCTGTTGAATGGCTACAAGTTTGATGTCCGTACGTACATGTTAATCGCAAGTACCACGCCTTATGTTGTCTTTTATCATCCGGGATATGTACGCCTGTCGTGTGTCCCGTATACACCCTACACTCAAGATGCCGCTGGACTGCATGCTCATCTTACCAATCAGGTTTGACCCGTTTGCTTCGTTTTGCCTTTACCAGTTGTCGTTATTCTATTGCTCATAACTGGTCCACAACACAACGAGGCGTTTTTGAGCGACGCAGTCAACCGGAAGCGAGACCTTTTCTCTTATAATATGCCTTAGTTGACGTCTTATAGAGACGATTTGCCCGAAATTTTGGGCAAAACCACTGCCTAAGAATTAGCCTGCGAATACAGCCGTTTCTCCTTAATCGTCGCCGCTAAGGACGTTTCGAAACGGCTGTATTCACAGGCTACCCAAGAATGGAAGAAGTCCACTTCCGGTTAACCTGCATCGCTCAGAAGCGTCTTTGCTTAAGTTCCCTAATCACGTTTCCGGTAAGCCGCAAACGCCAGATCTAAGTTAACAATTTCACAAATTAGGAGATGAGCAGGCAAAAACTGTCCAAAATAATTTTTTTGTGGATTATTCCTGACATGAAACTATTTTTTAGTAGATAATAAACAGTAGATGACATGTAAGGGGAAAACTTGCATGTTATGCAATTTGACGTTTACCGTTAACGTGATTGTGAATCTCTTATGTTTGTTTACCATTTTATACCACTACATGAGAAATTTCTGCAATTTGATTGGCTTAGAACAGTGGTATTTCAGCTTAATTTGAAATACCTACATGTGAAAATTACAAACCTTTTGCGGGTAGTAAAATAAACAAATAATAGCATAAATGATATTTCAAAATTGTCTCAAATTTCACTCGCCCAACGGCTCGTGAAATTACGTATAACAATTTCGAAATATCATGCGTGGTATTTATGCCAAATATCACTACAAATCATGCTATTACCTATACTAATACCAGGACACTGATCAGTAGGCTAAATTACCAACCGCTGTTCGGGAAAATGAGCCCGCACTCTTCCCCCTTAAAGATCAAAGACCGGGCCGGGCCGAGAGACTGGCAGAAATCGAGCCTGTGTGGGGTGGTCAGCAATTAGCCTGCGAGTAAGCTCTCTAGTGCGCTGTAGCGTCCGGTCGGGAAAAGGAAGGAGAGCTGGCAACTACGTCTCTGGATTGGGATTTTGAATATCTGCAATGCATCGAAAGAGTCGATGCGAAGTGCTGATTGGCGGAGATGGCATAAGTAATGACGTCATTACTCTTGGCACGTGTTTTTCAATGTCTGTTTACATTCGTGCTCGTTTCCGCTTCTCGCTGATTGGCGGAAATCTGACAGCTCAGTCGACGGGGAGTCACAGGGGAATTGGAGGTGGAATTTAAATTCCAGAGACGTAGTTGCAAGCTCTCATTCCTTTTATAAAATCCCTAAACCTGGAAACCAGGCTTTGTTGACTTTTATCAGTAAACCCTAGTTTCTGACAAAATCTCGGTTGCTTGCCACGACGTTTGGAAAACGCATTTTTTAATTTTATAGTTAAGTCACAGTTAAATGTTATCTGTACTGAAATCTCTGTTTCTGTGTCACAGTATGTACAGAAAAAACACCCCATGTATTCCACCATGAAGGAAGATACTGTCTGGAGTTTCGATCGATTACAGTCATACATCGATGAGAAATATGCCAAGGAAAAAGAACTCCCTGAAAACTGGGTCTACACAGCATTCACGGTAAGTAAAAAATAAATAAATTTCCGTTATTTACCCTCGGCAGTATTTATAGCACTTATGCTAGTGGGGCCTAGCAAATGCATGAAATAACTAATTTAAATGAAACATAATGGGATTAAGAATCCCAACAGGCCGGATGCAAACAAGTTCACTGTTTACAGGCGTGGTGGAGGACTTAAACTTTTTTTTAATTTTTTTTATTCAAATTTATTGTATCTTTATTACCTTAGTATTTTTATTGTCATGCGTTTTATACATGAGCCTATGGCGCGGATGATCGGGGCAACCTCATCCCACGTATTGACGTTAATAAATTTATTTATTTATTCATTAAACTCGGGATTATCAAGAACAAATCCAGCTAGCGGTCTGTCAGGGTAGGACTTGAACTCTTGGCCTCCGACTTGCAAGTCAAGCGCTCAAACCGCCCGGTCACGCTGCCTCCACAAGTCACTGTTCACGTTTCATCCGGTGTTAATACAGTGGAATCTCCCATAAGCGGACACCCTTGGAACGCGAAAAAGGAGTCCGTTAGGCGTTACTGGAGCTGGCTGCTTACGGGAATGTAAAACTACGGAGTTTGTATGGGAGTTGAGAAAAACAGGGTTTTATGAAGGCAGCCGTAAGTAGAGCTGTCCGCTTACTAGAATGACGTCCGTCAGGAGAGCTTCGACTGTATCAATTAGTTTATACTACTGCATGAGAAATTACTGCAATTTGATTGGCTTAGAGCAGTGGTATTTCAGCTCAATTTGAAATACCTACATGTGAAAATTACAAACCTTTTGTGGGTAGTAGTATAAACAAATAATAGCACGATTTATACGTGATATTTGGCATAAATACCACTTGTGATATTTCAAAATTGTCTCAAATTTCACTCGCCTAACGGCTCGTGAAATTACGTATAACAATCTCGAAATATCACTCGTGGTATTTATGCCAAATATCACCACAAATCATGCTATTACCTATACTAATTTTCGCACTTTTGGTGATTTCCATTTGTGATTTCCGTACTTTCAAAACTCGCATCGAAGCCTCCTGCTTTTGACTTCCTTGTGAATCAGTCATTTTCTGCGCCTTTTCTCTTCCTTTTTAAAACCATCAAGATTTATAATTATGGGCTTTGTATGATCATGACCGTCAAGTTTTACTTTTATATTCCAGAAACGCATGCATCAGATAATGACAGCATGTTTCCACAGTGTTCGTCAAAAGCTGCATAGAAGATCAGGAACTTTTGACTTACTAGGATTCGACTTTCTTATCGACGAAGATTTTAAGGTTTGCTAGTTAGATAATCCTTTTTGACTTTTGAGAACGTTGAAAAGATGTCACCCAAGTCGCTTATCGTAGGCCCGATTAACCAGCCGCTGTTCGGGAAAATGAGCCCGCACTCATCAAAGACCGGACCCGGGAGACGGCGGAAATCGAGCCTACGCTTATCACTACAGGCGTTTTTTCGAGCTTGGAATCATTTTGTGTGTGTGCGCTTAGATCCAGTTGCATATGTTTATTTTTTCGTACATAGCTCTCCGTTTTCACGAATCTCGTGTTTGGCATGAGTTGCATGATTCCCGCCTTAGCTCAATTACCTATGCACTCAGACATAATTTTTTTCGCGTTTAGCTTCTTTGCCGATTGCCTTGCATGGCACTTGCTGCATGTTACCTGCGCTGTTTTTTATGGTGCATGTTTTCCCGTGCTTAACAAAAAAACTTGGGTGCTTTTCTTTACCAAAATCCAAATCCGGATATTTAATCCGAAAACGGCTATTTCGTTTCTTTACTAAAACCCAAAAACGGCTAATCAAAATGATCCAGGACGGAGGTGTATTCTTTGGATGATATCCAAATACGGATACTTTAGATACATGGTCCGAAGCGTTTCTTTACTACGGATCCGAAAAGAGTGAATTTTATCAGCAGTAACTCGAAACAATTTTAATACATTAATTGTTTGACAACACAGCACACCTTTAAGGCTTTTTTTGAACGGGAGTCAAGGATTATAAACGATCGATTTTATCCGTTTTATCGGAGTGGTAAAATCGCAGTGCAAACAGGACCTGCATTGTTCTAGTTCACGAGGACAAAACTGCTACGCAACTTCGCCGGCGCGTCTCACGAGACTTAACTTTTCCAGTACATATCTTATGGATTTTTTTTGCTAGAACCCGACTTTTATTTTCTTGCTCTTTTGTATTCCTTTTCACATTCCTTCTTTCTTTGATAACTGAGAAGCTTATAACCCCGGACCGGGTTCCTCGAAAGATGGTTAAGTTTAACCCAGGATTAAGCCAAAGTTTAAGCAAGGTTTTCTTGTCTAAGAACACGTAACTAGAGCTTTAAAAATGCTGTTGAGCCTTTACCCCGGGTTACGGTAAGGACAACACAAAACGTTACTCCAAGCAATATATAGGAAAGTGAATACATAAAGTGGAACAAAATTCTAATCCTGGGTTAGCGCGCTAATCTGCCTTTCAAGAACCGGGCCCTGTCCTGGGCTATATACTTCTGCTTTGATCAAGCAACCAGGGAGAATTAAGATGTAGATCACATAGACTGCAAAACAGTCAGTATTTTTGCGTATTCAAGTACGCGCGAGCAGTCAAACAAAAGGTCTGGAACGAAGCTGAAAACAGAGAGCGAGACTGGGGAGAGACGCTAATTCTCTCGCCTCACACGCCCTACGGGCGTGTGAGGCTCGCGCGCGTCGCGCGTAAGACTCTTACCCACGCTTTACCGATTTCTTTACTGATTTTGAGAGAAAAACCGACTGTTTTGCAGTTTATAGATCACAAGACGCCAGGTTGTAACTGTGTAGCGTTTTTTTTTTTCGTAGGTTTGGTTGTTAGAGGTGAATATCAACCCTGCTCTTCACACAAACTGCCAAGTGCTCATGGATCTCTTACCGGGGGTAGTCGACGAGACGCTAAGTAAGTATGCCTCTGAGTGCGGTAGGCAAATTTTAATCATTTAGTTCTAGTATTTCGAGAAGTATCAACCAGCTGTTCTATAGCCTGCGCCGCAGACGAAACTAAACCGTTCTGGTCATGTCCGTCTGCGAAACGTAATTCCGGTAAATTGTTGGGTCCGTTTGTGGGCCCTGAACAAGGATATCAACGCTGCTTCGCATAGGTTGCTAACCGGTCTTAGATTACCTCTGCAATGTAGCCACTGTTCTATTAAGGTAACAAAACAATACGGAATAGGGCTTTGTTAGTTTTAAGCCAAATTACTAGCCCCGAATCTCCTATTTCCAGGAAATAGGTTGCGTGACAAGCCGATTGCTGGATAGCCTGCGTAGAAAGCGTTTCTGTTTGGTTTCGGAGCAAAGAAAGACCAAGGAAGGGAATTTTCGGTTTTGACAGCGCGAGAAATGAAACGAGACCCTGCTCTTTCACTTGCGCCATTTTTCGCGCTTTCTTTGACTCTCGTCCCTCGTTGTTTGCTCCGAAACCAAACAGAAACGTTTGCTACTCGGGCTAATTGCTGGACACCCGCCTCACCTTCCCTGCAGGGGCAGGGAGAGGTTGTACACGGGCTAGCCGATTGTGAGTTTTCCCGTGCTTTTTTTTCTTTTTTTCGAAATTAGGTTAACTATGTAACTGTGAGAAATACAAAAGCCAAACTGTTACTATAAATTTTTTTTCTTCTAGAACTTGTTATCGAGATCTCAGAGAAGACAAAGCGAAAGCGGCCAATCTTTCCACTTGAAAGTCAGAAGGGTTTTCAGTTATTATACAACGGAGAAAAATAAACAGCCAAAGCGTCTGTACTCTGCAAAGAACAGGCAAAAAGCTAATTCAGATCCATCATACATGCCAGTCAATAGCAGACTGAGAAACTGCTGATGGTATTTGGTATCATGAAGAAAGAGATAACTAATAACCCCGAAGCAGCTGATCACTGTTCAAGGCCTGGCGGCTTGGCTGTCTTGGTTTGCTGGAGACTGGTCTCTCAATTGTGACATGATAGATCACATGCCTTGCCTGACTCACTCCTGGTGGTTTATAAAGCAAGGCGGGTGCATAAAATGACTTAAAAAGACATTTTGTTGTTTTTGTAATTAAGTACCAGTGAATTTTCCCTTGTAAACGGAAAATAATCGTTTACTACTATGAGTGTGGAAAGGTGTAGAGTAATCTGCCTTGGAGATCTTTAACGGTGGTTCTTGTTTGTCCTTTGTTGACAAACTTATTGACCAACTCAATCATCGAATCTCTTTGGAAGATTAGTGTTTTTTATTATTAATTCACAGGAGGTTTTACCCCTTGATTAAAGTCAAAGTTGTTTGTTTTGGTATTTTCTGGGTCCCTTATAAATAAACAGCATGTTTGGAGTGTTTTTATGCCTTGCTGCCTCAATATTTTATTGTTGGTTGTTAAAGTTATTCCGGCTTCGAAAACAAGCTCAGTGATAACACTTCACTTCAGTTTATGTACCACTTATTAACCTCGTCCGTTCCGTCATTACAAGGAAATCTCAGACCGAGCCCTTGATGCATTGACCTCGCTATCGCTCGGTCAATACACCAGAGCCGACGTACTCAGTGTGATTTAACTGGAGGGCTCCTGGTTTTATTAGTCACAAATTCATGATAACCATTACATTCATTAAGATAATCTTGGAAGTACAGTTCATACAATGATATCTGGGCAATCATATCTTAATAATATATTTTTTCTTAATAATATATATATAGACCCTGACGCTTCAATGTAATAATGGAGTTTAACTGAAGAGTGGGTCACCCTTTCGGTGACCTACGAAACAGGCTTGTATTAAACACCCATGCACTCAGGATTTGAGTAGTTCACCTACTGGTCTATTCCGCTCCTTCACTGCAAGTAGAGCACTGTCTTGGCTTCGCCGGTGAACATCTAACTGAATAATATATATATATATATATTTTTTTTTT